ATGCACGAGAGCCTGGCCCGCTTCTCCGAAAGCTTTGCCGCTTTTCTCTACGGCATGAACATGAACGCCTTCTGCGTCGACTTCCCAGAGGTGCGTAACACGGCGTCTCAAAGCGGGGCCATGGTATCGCGGCTACTAACAACCATCTCTAGGCCCCAATCCACGAGTCCTTCAAGCGCCCACAGAACCAGCCCGACGGCGGGGCTGCCAACCTGAGCCGCTCACAGGGGCCAGAGGACATGGAGGCGACCTTTTTGACCACTGACACGTCCTTTGTTGACAACCCCCCAGGCAGCAAGACGCCATCCAAGCCTCAGACGCCTGCGCCAGCAGCCAAAACATCGGGCCTACCAAGAGGCCGGGGAGGCATACCACGCGCTGGCGGACGCGGCGGTATCCCTACCCGCGGCGGCACCACAAGGGGCACAAGAGGCGGTACAGGCATCGCAAGAGGTGTTGCCGGGCGGGGACGAGGAGTACGGTAAAGATTGTGCGAGATTGTTGGAATTTGACGGCTTTACATTTGATACCCAGATGAGTACTACACAGTCCATGACAATTGATGAGATAAATCAAGCCTGATTATTATAACCGCTCTGCCCAACTGCCTCCGAGAGCACTCGCCATCATCAGTACCAAGAACATGTGTCTGTTATCCAACATTGATGATCATTATGAGCCGCCCGTTGCCGAAGGAACCCGCCCCTCCACGGCCCTTCCATTACCACTGCCATGACTGCATCAAACAAGGGTATTATTGCAGCTATCCAGGCTGTCGCCATTCTTAGGGAAGTGGGGTATACTGCAGCAATACCATGAAACCAGAAAAAAAGAAACATTCGGGTCGTAAACAAGGGAGCAAGTGGGGTATCAAAGGGAAATTCCAGCTTCCAAGATGCATGTCTACCAGAGCAAGCCAGCGTGCTCGAGGCTGATGCTGGCTGGTAAGCAATCAAGCCAAAGCACCAGTATGGCCCTTGAACTATTGGCCGCTGCTCTCCTTGCGCAAGGCCCAGCCCTTTATGGCTATGACAACTGTGGTCCAAGCCATGAGCAGCGCAGTGAGTCCCATGACGACTGTGAAGATGAACATGGCATCCAGATTGTATGATTCGAGAGCTGCAACAGTATCCTTGTTGCTAACCATAAAAGTGACGCCGCCCGAGATGAGACAGAATGCAGTCACAATCTCGGTTGGTGGCCGGGATGGAAGAAAGGATGTTGGCGGCGAAATGTACAGAGTGATGTAGGTGAGAGCACGTGCAAGTGCGAAGCCCATAAACATGGACCCCCATTGGGTGTGTATCATGGTTGAAACCATCGAGTCCTGGTGGTGAGAGCTCATCATCTTGCCGAGCAGCATGATGATCAAAGCCGGCATAGGGTTCATGGAGAAGCGGTACTGGCGTGGCTGCTGCCATGCCTCGTACTCTATAGAGGCAGCCTGCGACGCCGCGACGCCGCTGTTGAGGAGATCGCGCATCTTGCTCGACTCGATGCACATTCCCAACTAGGAAGGAGATTAGCTAATGTCGCGCTAGAGTGAAGGAGCCGCAACAAGCCACTTACCAAGCCACCACCAAAGAACATGACTGAGATGGAGACGTGCTCCAAGTCCTGCGCAGTCCATGCGTCGCCCCACGCAGCCAGGTGCTCGAGGAAAACATTGGTACAACCGTAGAGAAAGATGACGAAGGATTCGGTAAACTCGGCAGACGGTAGCGCGGCTCGCCAACGACCAACAACCTCCTTGGGCGGCTTGACGTTCCACGCCCATCCAAAGTCTGCAAATGCGCCCATCCATCGGCCGAGCGTGAGAAAACCGTACACAAAGAAGATTCCTCCTTTGACTGTGTGCGCCAGAACGTTGAAGACGGCACCCCCTCGTCCGATGCCTCCATAAACGACAGCACCACTGACAATGGCCACGAAACCTTGGATCAGGATGGTGCGCTCAATGAGGATATGGAAAAATCGGATGGCTTGCAGTGTACGGCCTACAGCAAAGCGGGCCACGTTGCGAGCCAAGAAGCGGTCTATAGGCGTGTCGTGTAGGAGGCCGTGCTTTTCATTATCATCTTCACCAGAGTCATCGTCATGGGCATCGTTGTGGGTTTGGCCGATAAACTGCTGGACTTCGGACTCGACGCTGGGGGATGGGGATGGGTCGTATAACGAAGCCGAGTTTCGTTCGGTACCTTGGCCAGAATCGCCCGACCGTCTTGATGAATTGGAGAGCTCCTCGTCCTGTACACGCTGGTATCTGAGCATATTTGCAGCCGTCATGGAGTGTTTGTATTGATCCTCGACCGTCTCCTTGTCGTGCATGCCAGCATAAACCTGGACCAGAGCCAAAAACACCCATGCCGAAGCAATCCAGGTAATGGCCCATCCGGCCTTGCTGTGCGCATTTCCTGTATACATTTCTGGTGTCTTGTGGTTGTAGACGAGGCCAAGCACAAGCGCAAGTGCATTGGTAGCAAGGAAGACTAATTGCGATGGCAGAGTAAAGCGCGAACGCGCGATACTGAACATGACGGCTATTGGTAGGACGACGACCCAGGCCAACATTTCGAGCCCAATGTGCCAATACATGAGCGAAGCATGTTCAGAAAGACTCCAGTAGCCTCCAAAGCCAGCTGGTTGAGATTGCGCTTTGGGCATATCATGCGCATTCATATCCATGGCTTTGTCGCCACCATGGGCAGCTGCCAGCGGCACAAGCTCTAGTAGCAATGCCGCAGTAGCTATGGCGACACCCCCACGGCCCTTCATGATGAGTGTGTTCAGTAGGAATGGTGTAGTCTTGAGAAGAATGCGCTGCGAAATCGCGAGTGGAAGGGAATAGAGGAAACTATGCGACTCGGTTGTACCGCGAGACTGTAGCCGGTAGGCATGCGCAGCCAAAGAAGCAAGAGGATGCAAGGTGAATTCAAGGGAAGCAGCAAACGGAAAAGGTATCAAGTACTGGTGTGCGGCCAACTGGCTGGCACTACCCGAGGGGTTGCGCCTTGCATGTATACTACTTGGACCGGAAGTTGCGGAACTGCGAATTGGAGCAGGTCATGGCTACGTGAGTTTGTCAGCGTCGAGAATATTCCGATCGCATTGCATCGCGTCTTTTGCCAGTTGTGACGTCCACATGGCCGAGTGCAGTTGTCTTGTCCAAGGTGGGTCTGGCTATGCACAGACCGTACACCTTCTCACCCGCCTGCCACCCTCCCTGCTCCCACCCTCCCATCACCCAGCCATGAGCCGTCAGCCACCGCTAACGACGACTATGTAGTCCAAGGCCAAGGGCCCTACCTCCCCCTCTCTTTCTTCGCTGCAAACCACACAATCCAACTCCACGCCCGGTGCCAGACACTCCAATGGCAAGCCCCAGGACGCAGCGTTGTCCTTTGCTGCACCAGCATTCGGTGCATCATGCCATGGCGTGGCTGTGACAGCAGGTCAGAAGGGCGGCCCAGCCACTTGGGTTGACTTGGGTCCCTCTCATCATCCGTATCGATCATCCGCTCTTTGCCTGGCATTCTTTGCATCGGATAGTCACCTACTGCGTATGTACTTACTGTACTATGTGCAGTACCGTGATGCTCGGCCCGTGCAGGATACATCGGAAGCTACTACGTTTGTATCCGCCTGAACCACCTGTGAAATCATGGCTACTAAAAATTTTTTCTCTTAGTACCTGTGGTGGTGTGCAAATTCCGAGTCACCACCTACTAACTCCAGACTTTGTCCGAGCCTCAGGCGTTCAAGAAACCATTGGCGCTGGCATGGATCAGCATCACGTGTGCCACGCCTCCACAAGCAAGTATTCCTCATAAGCTTTTTCTCGCACTCGGCAAGGCGCGGTCAGGCGACAGGCATTGTACATACACGCTGGCTTCGATGCTCGTCGAGTCTGTCGCCATCCGCCCGCTTCCGACCTGACCGACGCTGAAGCTCAGCGTGATGTAACTTGGCCGACTTGTACCCAGATGTAAATGTCATCGGTTTCTACCAGCTGTAGTTCATGGTCTACGTACACAACCCAGACCTGTTTTGGTAGTAGGTGTAGAACTAGGGTTCCGTCTTTTGGCCATCTTGTCCGCGCTGTTGACGGCTGCATGCTTTGGTGGGTATATACATTACTAATATCAGACACCAAGCGTGAGCAGCCACCCCATCCATCCATTCATCCACCCACCCACCCACTCAGCCACTCAGCCTTGCAGCTTGGCTTTGACTCATCAGAGCAGAACGAATGGGCCTGCGTTTTGCTGCCTAGTGCTCGCCGTGTTGGTTAGGGCTTGTAGCGCAGACGGCCACCGATCGCTCGATGCGAAATGTGCAATATGTGAAGTGAGGTGGTCCCACACTCCACCTCAAATACCCGCATATCGACTTTACCTACTTTGTCAAGAGTCCGGATATTGTCTGACTTCCAGTCTCCATGTCAGTCGATGCCCAGTCTTCGACCTCTCTTCGCACATGTGTGTACTACATAGCATGGCCTATAGTAGGAACCCTCGTCTTTCGGAACCGGCATTAACGGACATCCGAGTTCCTTTGCCAACCCTCCGTAATGTAGCGAATCCTCACGCTTCCCTCCTCATCCATATCATCATGCCATCTGCTTTGCGACTTTTATGAAAGCGCTTAATTGTTGCAACCAACATCTGTAAGGATTATACACCTCTCCTAACGGGTGACTCATGTGGGGCTCACATCAATCCATGTCATTACGTCATGCACATCTGGCCGCTATGTGCTGGGGTCTGGCCTCTAAATGCTCCGCCTAGAGTAGACGGTGAGCAAATATTCGTTTTGTCTATGAGTCTGGCCTGCTCATTACTAACGGACGAAAATCGGATAGCGCATTCAAAATCTGCAACACCATGCAGTGTCGACCATTGTTCCCATCCGATCGATCGCGACTTGTTTTGCAAATTCCTTGAGCCAAAGATGCTGCAGGATAATCTCAATATTCAGCTCGTGTTTCTGTGGACCTTTCTTTATTCTTCCGGTGCATTGATCCAACGTCGCATCTTATCCTCGTTTGCATATTCTTCGCTTTCGAAATCTTGCATTTCCCTCATCACGTAAAGCCTCTTGGTATTGTTTTCCTCTTTACGTCGCGACTAACATATCATCCGCTCTTCGGGTGTAATCTTCCTCTAACCTTTTGATGTTCATACCATCACTTCGTTAGAGGCTTCCACCAGAAGCTTGCTCTTTGCTCTCAAGGTCGGCCCATATGCTCGGAAAACTATCGGGATTGGTATCATGATCGTGGCAAGACAGGCGAGAAGCATCCCTGCCCACTGGATACCGAGATTTTCAAACATCTGAGTAGAGAACAAAGGGAAGCCAGCTGCAACAGCTGAACGGAGCATGATGTTGGCTGCAACTGCTGAAGCTGCTCTGGTTTGAGTTGCCAAATCAGTCAACATGATCGGCAAGGGCGCGGTCGAGGGCTAAGCATTACTTACAGAGGCAAAAAAGCATCAACAAGATAATTGAAGCAAGGCAAAAAGATGCAAAGCACTCCAAATCCAATAAAGGCTCCGGCTGCAGTTGGTGCCATCCAATGGACAGCATTGGTGAAGCCTGTCCATGCAAACCTGGGGCAGAGCCATCAGCCTTTTTTTTCATGTTAACATTTACGCACAAGACTTACCAGAATAGACCAATAGTGAATACGATAGCCCCTAGGATAGCAGGTCCAAGCCGCCACTCTGGTATTGTCTTTCCATTGTTTGCCTCCAGCTTTCGGCAATACGATCTGTGTTGGCCAAGGATAAAGATAAGAGCTAAAACCACACCCAAGAGTAGACCGAGAAATGGCAAAGTTCGTACTCCGACCGGCATACCATGGACATGCTGAAATACATATGGGTATGCCCCTAGAAGTGCATAAACCAACCCATATATGAACGACATATACATGGATACCAAGAGGATAATGGGCTCCGTCGCTAGCATGCGAAGCGGTCGAGTAAGGTATTTTTTCACCACGGCGTGGACATCTAGCTTCAGTCTCTCTTGTTCAGCATAAATTTTCCAGTCACCCGTCTGCCGCCGCAAAAGCTGCGCCTTCTGCACCAGTACCAATGGAGCAAAAGTCTCTTTGAAAAATAGCAATAGGAACACGGAATTTGCAAGCCCCAAAATGGCAGGAAGATATAGCGTCCAACGCCACCCTAAATGACTTGCAACGATGAAATCGCCAACGATGGGTGCAAGAAACGGACCCCCAAACACCGTCAGCGCATACAGCGATATCGCCACACCGCGATATGTGCTGTTGTACAAATCCGCCAGCACAGCAGGAACAACACACAGGGGGCTTGCGCCAAACAAACCCGCAAAGAACCGGCACACAATAAGCGTCTGCACATTCTCCGCCATGCCGCTTCCAAGCGTAAACGCGCAGGATCCGAACACGCCGAGTACAAGTGGCCAGCGACGCCCAAGCATCTCAGACCCTGGAGCCCAAATCACAGGACCCGATGCGAAGCCTAACACAAAGAGGCTGGTTCCTAGTGCTGTGACTTTGTCTCCCACGCTGAAATCGATGCTGCTGGGTGCGGCAGCTGCGTTGTAGATTGCGCTGTTGAAACTTGCGATCAAGGTTCCCATGCACGCGGTTGTGGAGATGACGAGTCTGTTAAGTTGGCAATCCTGTTAGCTGAAGTGCTTCCGTTTTTTCGAGTTGTTGTTTTTCCCCCCTTGTGTTTGAGTGTTTTTACTAAAGGTGGGTTGGGTGAGGATACCTAACTTTTTCCATGACGCCCAGTCCTGTGGGTTCTGGTCATCGTGCGGCGAGTCGAATGTGACTGCATGATTCGAACTCTGTGTACCATCCGAAATCTCTTGTTCCGCTTGTGGCTTTTCCTCATTGCGGGCTTGGTATGCCTCGTTGGGGTTGTATCGTGTGGTGTTGGTGTGTTGATGCATCCCTACTGAGTGGTGGTAGTCCTCGATGGAGAAGTGAAGCTATTCTTTTTGCTTGAAATGTGATAGCAGACGAGATAAAAAGACCTGGCAATCCCTTTTTTTCTTCTAAGTTATATTTGCAAAGTTATTTTCAGTCAAGAGTGAGGACAGAAGTATGGTTTTCTCATCACTGGTAGTTCCGCATGGCCCGCAATATCCGCACTTTGTGGATCTTGTTCCGCGGCCTTTTTTTCTCAACCAAACAGCTTTTCTTCAGTTTCAATGATATTTGATGTAGTCTATTTGGTGATGGATTGATAATTGGTATCGACAGAATTCCCGATCAGGTGTCAATTGCAAGTAGGACTGCACGCGGAGCAGTTACCTATGAGACATGTATTCCGGAAACATTGCAAATTTCATAATGGATCTAGGAGTTTTTGATAGAAGCGTTTATGAGCTAAGGTTGTAGAAATATTACAGTAACATCCCTGCGGACGCTCCCCTACATGTTGGATTTCGCGTTTGTGGATCGTAAGGCGGAGCGGGTATTGCGGATATGGATAATTGGCGGAAACCGCACAACGATCATTTCCGCCCCGGGTCGAATGAGCTTTGTTTTTGCTGTTGAACGAGAAATTAACTTTGAACAGGTCCGTTAAGATTCAAAAATGTCATGTATAATTTCTGAACTGTACTTTTCGTTCATGATCGCTATAGTGCTTACATGAACGGATCAAGACCTGATGCTAGATCTGAATTAGCTATAAACTCATTGAACCAAGAAAATTCTTGCAAAGAGTCGCTGCTCAGAGGATCGCCATGGTTCTCCTGTAAGACAAAATCTACAGAAGGGTATAGGCCTAGCATGTCGGAATGCTTCTTGATCTCTGCTTCTCTTCGCCTCCGGTGCAGCCGGAGCAGGGTACACGCAGCAACGGCAGCTTCTCTCGTCGCTTCAGTTGGATACGCTTCATTCACGGCGATGACACAAGCCAGAGTCTCAGACAAGAGTGCAAAAGACTGTGCGGTATCGATAACGAGGAGTGTGCACACTGCCTGAAACGGGATGTTGGCTACGTGGTGCCAAGGAAGATGTGCTACAATGTTGGATCGAACGGCCTGAATGCTTTTTTGAATCAAACCGAGAACCTTGGCCATGAGATTCTCGGATATCTCGAGCTTCGAGGCATGAAGCCTACGATGGATGCACAGCATCACGTTGCACTGTGCCAGTACAGATGGTGGTTCGGTATGTGTTCGCTCCAAGACGTTCACCAATGCTTTAACAAGCCGGTCCACACTTAGTTCGTTAGTCGGGTCCAGCTCCTGTGAGTATGGCAGGAGATCGAGCAATTCCACTGTGTATTCTCCAGCTTCCGGAGTCGGTGGGGCATTGTCAAAGTTAGGCAGAGATACACGACTCCGACCTAGGTCATATGACATCCATATGTTTAGGTGTTGTGCTACCCCAATCACTCTTTTCCGAAGATGGATACTGACTGGGTCTTGAGATGTGGTGAAGGCAGTACTCCGGCTGGTACGGTTCATCAGTCCTGCAGCATCAATGATGTGGAGAGCGTTACAGCTTGCTAACCATGCCTCTTCTGGCTTTGCTGTGACCCGTAAGTATGCAGTGCGAAGCACCCATGCAGTAGCACTATATAGTGATGGAGGATCAGCATATGATGGGTCCAGCAGACGTTTGGCAAGTGAAGCGAGTCTTGATTCGGTTTCCACGTCTTGAGTATTCGAAAACAGAAGTGCGAGGGCACCGACACCACTCAAAAGGGCTTCCAGCGCATTGTGTGTTTTTTGCTGACTCCAATTGTTGGAGATACTCTGGAGCAGCATGTCCTTGTCAATGAAGCTATAACATGGGTGAAACTTATCAAAATAGATGCTAGCTAGATGTCGCATCTCTGATTCTGATAAAATATCTGTAAGAGCCTCTTGCTGTATCGGCATCGCTACTTGTCTTTCTCCGAGAAACAAGTTCCATGCGAGCATTCGCATTGGAGAAACACTTTGATCAGACGATTCAAGCGTCATCGTAAGCAGGCGTGCAAAAGCCGCTCCAGAGTTGCTCTCGATGGATCGCAGATATGCGGGTGAATGCTGGTGATCATTGCCTAACTCTTGCTGGTCATGATTCTCTGAGACTGGCTGCTGAAGTCCCTGTGTTGGCTGGATCGGCTGGACTGGCTGGTGACCATCTAAGTGTAGTGACGACGTCCCTGCGGCAGGTGTTGGGCTTGCTTCCTGTACCATTATGCTCTGGGGCCGGACTGCGCGTCTTTGAGATTGCCGGCTGCGCGGTGTTGAACGGTAGGAGCAGTCGTACCCATAACCGAGGCACATATTGCAAGGTCGTCCTCCATCACATTTTCTTTTGCGCTCTCGACACGAGTCACATGCAATACGCAGTCGCTGGCGATGTCGCGGTCTATTTTCGACGTTCATTGTATATGCCGATTTGAAAGTTGCGTATCATACCGTGCTACGATTGTTTTGTGTGCCAAGTGATGGAATGATTCCATGGTCAGAATAGATGATGTCTGCAGATAAAATGGTGTACATTGACTGGTATTCGTGCTCTTGACGCCAAGACAGCGTTCACGTGACAACGCGTGCCCTGGATCTTGGGTGTGCCGACGACAACACGTCCACCACCAACCCCGGCGCGAAGCAAACCTGCCCGGACTGTAGCCCCATCGCAGAAATGCTTGACATTGAAGATTTTGACGCTGTCTATCGTGGACTCAACTACAATGAGGGCCTCGTACAAGAGATTCAGTCATATCGAACTGCCCTTGGCGGGCGCACATACTTCGAGCGGTTGCTAGTCCTCCTCCAGATCAAAGGTAAAGCTCGACTCAAACTTATGCTGAGTAAACGCTGACCAGATAATGTAGGAAGCAAGCTGTACCCGCCCAAATCCCCGCAACAACTTCAGGATCTCCATCAGCGCATCATCTCCGCCGAGACAACACTACACAACAAACATTGTCTTGTCTTCTATCTGCTCAAAGACCTGTCGCCGCAACATCATGATACAACAGAACTTTCGGAAGCATTCGCTAAGGACGTGCACCTCGAGAAACGATTCTGGACATTTGTTGAAGGGTTGTGGTTTCTCGATCACCTCCAGTTCTCAACCGCGGTTGGGCACTTGACGCATCCGAGCATAATACCGACATTTCCAGACGAGATTATGCACACTCTGCTAACTGGGGGAGATAAGTTGAGCAGTTTGGGCATGGGAGGTGGTCCCAAAGACGACGTACTGGCACTTGCATATTACAACTGTGTCAAGCCACCGCTGGAGGATGAAAAGACACGAGTCGAGTTCGCAAAATATCTTGCTGGTCGTAACGTCACCGATATGTACGACTGGATCCACAGCAGACCCGAATTCGAGCAGAAGCCACTTCTCGAGATCCTTATCGAGGAGACGCTGGACCACAATGCGTGGGCAGATCGTTCAGAACATGATGTGTATACACGAGACGCCAAGGCCTACGAGCTGGTCAGCCTGCCTTTCAGTGAGGAAGAAGAGGAGTTTATTGAGAAATTTCTCACTGAAGGCAGGGGGCGGACATTTCCGAACGCCCAAGATTTAGTGATGATGCGCAGAATCGCTACAGGCAAGTTGGCAGATGTCGCTTCTGATGTGGCTACTCGTGGACGGAGATTGGATGGTGTGAACTGGGACGTATTGAAAGATGGTGTGAAGAGAGGCCTGGGGCCCAGGAAAGACGAAAAAGACTTCGTTGTCTGATATCGTCAGTCTCCTGAGATATCTCAAACAGACCCCTTGCATAGCGACCGGCGTTTAGGTACTTGCTCTTCGAAATAGAGCTAAATCTATCTTTGGTCATGCGTGTGCCTCGATCCGACTATTCATGGACGAGAATGGCAACTTCACGACACCCATGTCTTCCTTTCGTTTTTGTGACTTGAACTCCATTCTTCGCCTTTGTGCCCAACGAATTTCGTGTCTTCGGCAAGAGTGTGAGGAATGCACAAAAAAGGTGAACATCTTTTCAAGCCATGTTTTGCAAGTCATGATGGCTTCCAAAGAATCAGTGACACCGTATGTTGCCCCGTCGTACACCTGAACAAGGTATTTGGGAAGCTTAGCCTTGCTTCAACAAAGATATTCGCGTGAACTACACAATGTTGGTCACACCCGATCTCATCCTGGGAACCACAAAAGGAGCAGACTTGAATGTTTTTTTATCATGAGACTGTTTTATTAGAAATTATGGATACTGAGATAGTATTGTCCATTTCCGAACCGATGATTATCTATCAGAGTTATTGTAGGATGATGTTCACGTGTTAGTAACGCGTTCACGTGATGGGGCGCCCGACACGCTCCTTCCACCGCAACCTTGGCCACCTTTAAACCCATGATTGTCTCCACACTCATACCCTTTAGGTTTTCTGACGCAAATTTTTCCATGCGACTACCACTAAGAAGAGTGCATTTTGTAATTCCTCCAATAACCTTGACCTGCAATCAACGACGTCTTGCACGTGCTCCTTTGGTGCACATTCACATCTACGCGCACCCTCTCACAGTCATGACTACTCAATCCCAAGACTCTGAATTCCCAACACAGGCCTTCGCCACACCAGCTGACTTCGAGTTGTTTCTCGAACGTGATCATACGACCGCTCCAGGCATTTTCGTAAAACTTGCCAAAAAGAGCTCTGGCATACCCTCTATTACAGCAGCCGAAGCCGTTGAGGTTGCGCTATGTTACGGCTGGATCGATGGCCGTGCAAACTCCATCGACGACACTTGGTGGAAGATTCGCTATACACCTCGTCGCGCAAAAAGTATCTGGTCCAAGAAGAATGTAGGCACGGTAGCGCGCCTCATTGAAGAGGGCCGCATGCGACCTGCAGGGCTGGCTGCGGTCGATGCTGCAAAGGCCGACGGGAGATGGGGCCGCGCATATGCAGGCCCTGCCACAATTGTAGTACCTGAGGATTTCAAGACCGCGCTCACAAAGGTGCCAGCTGCTAAAACAGTTTGGGAAAGCATGAGCAAGAGGGAGCAGTTCCCAACCCTGTTAAGAATAGAGACAGGGACGCAGACAGGGAGGTCAAGACGGATAGATGCTGCAGTCCAAACACTGGCTACTGGCCATCGCCCAGGTAGTAGCACAACAGCCAAGGCGAGTCGGAAAACCACATCTGGTGAAAGTGGTCGTGTGCAAAAATCAAGCACCGACCGCAAGCCGAGAAGCGAGGGACTCCGTAAACGAAAGGCCTAAAAGAAATATACGAGAGACCACGCACACATTGGCTTGATTCCACGGCAGAGTTGACCATGATCCTCGTCATCATGAACAAAAGGAGCCGATATCATGTTCAATGTAAACTCTTCATTCTTGTTATTTTCTACACATTACGCTTTTCATGGTCCCTTGGCTATGCTCAATCGATGCGTCATCTTTTGTCTGGAAACCGCATCTCCCCTAGATTTTCTTCTCCAAAGAAGAAAATCCCCTTTGTTGACTAGCTTGAGGGTGACAGTGATGTTGCCATCCTGAATCTGGTAAACAGGAATGGCACCAGTGAACGGAATCATACCATCGCCGCAGTATGTTTTACTAGAAAAAGACGAGAGTGAGTATACAAAGCAGGCTATCAAATTTGGGCTGAGGGGGGAGTTTCTCATATGTCTACAATGTGGTTGATCTTGATAGAAATGCCTTGGTCGTCGTTAATCTGGAGAGCCCAGGCTGCAGAGGAGCAGAGGAACCAGTCGCCAGTGACCCATTCTTTAGCAACGCAGTCGACGACAGTGAGTCGATCGATGCTGATTTGTTACAATACTTGGTCGTTGACCGCGCTCTCAAGAGCATTGAAGAGGGCGACGGCTTGCTGGGCAGAGGCAAGGCCGGCAAAGAGAGTGACTGCAGTGAACTTTATGTCGATAATTTGGATTGGGGGAACGAAAGTGTCAAACTTGGTCGGAATTCGATAATCAGATGGTTGGAAATCTTGCGGTGTAGTGACTTTCTCAGAGGACAAAGAACCGCTCTTTTTATATGCCCTGATTTTCATGCCCTCCCACGACAAATGAACTAAGCATTCGTTTATTTTCTGCGTTTGCGTGGCAGATTCTTGTACTTCCAGTAGTCTCCGTAAGGTTGCATTTGACGGTACCTGCCAGTGCGGAGATTTACCTATGACTTGCAGCCACCAACGACTCTATCGCTGAAAAGACTTGATATACCATTCCTTTCTTATACATATCCATGCAATGCAGAAAGCCAATATAGGGTTCCTGAAATTTCATCTCAGACTGATCACGATCTTTGGTAGTGACGTTCTGTTGATGATGCTGAGAAAGCTTGTTTTGCAGTGACTAAACTTAGACACTCCCTTTAACCCTTTCATGCACATTCTGCAGGATCATACGGAAGACCAAGCACGTCCCCTGGTATGTGAAGGAGCCGCCTTTGAGTCCCACGCGCGTAGAAGTCTACATTCTTCATCTACCAACCCACGTCGGTTGCTCGCTCAACCTTGGTCTACGTTCACCATACTGACAACCGGCTTCATTGACAGCCTTTTTGCTAGTCTTTTCAACCCTCGAGCTTTCATCACAGGTTCTAAAAGGTCACAAAATCAGATGTCGTTCCACAGTTTAGAAATGATACCTTCGATAGTTTTTGTCAACATACGAGGTATCAGCTTATGGACACTACTACTCACGAAAAATATAAAGTCAAAACATCATCACAGTAATACCCATGCCTTCATAAACCCAACTCGTTCTCACCACGTGAAGTCAGTTATTTGAACACGCATGCCACTTTTCACAACCACCCAATCCTTCGCCCAATGATACTAACGCCACCGAGCGTAGCACTGACCCCAGTCCAAATGACCAAACTTCCATACTGTGTCCCATACAGGCCAAATCCACCAACGTTTCCTGTTTTAATCAACGCCTCACTAACCGGGCCGCTGACCATGTTCCCAATACCTCGCCCTAGCGATAGGAATGAATACACCATGGAGCTTTCCATTTGCCCAGTATTTTGCTGTACCGTTCTCATGATTCCCGGCCAAGTATTGGCGAAACTTCCTGCGAACAGTCCATACATGAAGCAAAAGATGAGTAAAGGTGGCAAGGAAGTGCTGAACCCCCAAATCAGGAAGATGGATATAACGGCACCAATAGTGGAGATGAGAATAGCAGTCGTGACATGCGTGCGATCTACAATTGCTCCCATAGTGATTGACCCGATAACAGCAGCGACATTAAGGAGGATGACAGGTACTGTAGACATGGTATTGTCGAATCCTAGGGCCTTAGTGTAAGTCGGCAGGTAGATCGAAGGTATGAAGAAGCCGAGAGCTTGCATGATATTGCCAGACTGAAGGATCCAGAAGGCTTTGCTTGACAAGAACGTAAGGGTAATCTTTGCGCGGCTGTTCGCGGGAACAGGGAGACGCGGTTTGAGGAAGTATGACAGAGGAAGGGTAATTGTAAGGAGCGCAATTGCCCATACTCGTAGTGCGGTCCGAAAGCCGTAACGGTTTAGAAGCCATTGTAGCAACAGAGGAACAATTACGCCCCCCAGTCCTGTACCGGACCACATTATACCGAATGCTAGGCCTTTTCTCCTTACGAACCATTCATCGAGAAAGGTTATGGTGGGGCTGTATGCGACTGCTCCGCCGATGCCGTAAAGGATACCTTGAGTGGCGATGAGTTGCGGTACGGTGGTGCACAGTGAGCTTAATCCGAGTGACATGCACATTAGAAATAGTCCACAAACCATTATTGTTCTCTTGTATTGCGGCCACCGTATCAAGGATCCAAAGGTGAAGGGCAACGACATGTAAAGGATACCCATTGCGGAAGTTCCGACAGCTGGAATACCGGAAGAACCAGAGAAGTTTTCAGATATGCTGTAGTATTCTTGGAAGATGCCGTATGACCAGGGAAAGCCTAGACAATGTTACTAAGATGTCGTCTCAAGCTGTGACTACCGGTACAAGAAAGATGGTGGTATCATAATCTTGAAGAGAACTTACCCCAGACCATGATTTCCATTGCGAATGCCGCTGCTAAGAACAGCCAAGCGTCTTTCCCACCATCAGCTTGTGGCAACAAGTGCTCGTTTCCTGACATTTCGTTCCATTGTGGGCTTGGCTCAAGCTCTATCTCAGACGAGTTATCCGCGGTCATGGCTGCAGTAACAGAAGCCGTTTCGGATCTTGTGGCCATATTGAGACGTCTCAGTCTAGTGTGTTGGAAGTTGTGGTACAAAAATCTTCCGTCAGGAGGAAGAGGTCTCTAAATACTATCAAGTGGCATATTACAAATCTCCCCAATATTGTCCCATTGAGTAGGTTTCTACAATGAGCTTTGTCGGAGCTTGCATATCTTGCTCTCTGTAAGATAGCCAGTGCGCTGGCTGAGCTTAGCACCAAAGGAGTAATATGTTCCCGCACTCAAGAAGCGGGGTGACGTTGATATGGGCGGTATGTCAGCACAGAAAGCCAATGCGTGCTCACGGTCTGAGACCGGTGTCGGAATAAAATATGCAGGTCAAACACTCCGAAGCGGTGTGGAATACCGATGGTTCTGAATTGTTAATAGAGGTTCCCATGTTGAGACGCATACGATGTGCGCAGCTCCAGGATATCAGAATTTGGGACCTAAATGGGATCATCACATAAATCCTGAGGCTGACTGTTGATCATGAACGCGGATCGAAAGATAAGGTTAATAGTGGTGCAAGTGCTTTACTATTGGCCCGCTACTACAGGTATTCAACGAACCGAGTTGTGAGCTAAACAGCATCATGGAAGCGATGACCAATGCAAAATATCACTAGCTGCTATGTCACAATACCCTCCCGACTGCACAATTACAAATCATAAGCCATATGTCTTAATATGCAGCAATTGAACACCAGAAAGTTTGAAGCCATTGGGCATGAGATGTGGTAAATAATGCACACATTGCGGAGGCGAAGATGATCGCCATATAAAGATGAATTCGTAGGCAAGTTCGTAGATGCGCTACCTGTGTATTCGACACTGATGCGCATCTGCCCGTCTATATACTCGGATAGAAGAAAAGAAGAAGAAGGGTGGCCTGAAGAACGAACAGTAGCCAGTCTCCTAGAAGAAGACCACCGGGTCGGCCTGAAGTTGGCTGAGCCCGGGTAATGAATCGTGTATGACAGTACAGAAGACGTCGTGTGATGCTGGTGGGTCGTCTTGCTTATCCGTCAAAGGCGTAAGTCGCACGTTGCGCACCTGGTTCTTTGCCTCGGGACTCAGATGGCGTATAAAGTCCAAAACAGGCAGATAGTTGAATGCATAAAAATGGAATTGGTTCTCGGAATAGAGTACCGAGAGGCATTCGTGGTAGATAAGTCGGTTTGTCCGTAAGACATCGAGAGTCAGGTGTGGGTCGGGATGGGGACGGCAGATCTTATTCCATTTCCGGCTGATGGACCTCGAGTCGCAATCGGTGTACAAGATGAAACGTTTGTTTGAAGATGGCAAGACATATCTGAAAATCTCTCTCCGGATTTCGGATGGAATACGGAGCAATGGAGGGTAGTTATCCAAAGGCGAAATGGTCTCTGGTATGGATAATTGCTTTTCTACAGACTCTTTTGAAGGACATGCCATGCGCCGTAGGCGGATATCGTCTGTGGATGTTGGTATAGGCGCCATCTGTACACGGCGTTAGTACGACTAGAACAGTGCATCTACAACACGAGCAGACCTTTTTGGCAGATGTCTTGGATGGCATATTGGTACTACTGATGCTCACAAACAAAGCTCCCAGGAGCAGGGGAGACAAAGGCAGTTCAGATCGCACTCATCAATCGAAACAGCGGTCACGAGGTCACGAGGGACCGTTGATAATGTCACTATGGATCAGGGCAGCAAGAGTGCGTACACTGTAACGACGATGCAACACGGTAGCGGGGGCCTTGGGGACAGGTGACGGCGTAATTGTGGTACAATGCATGGAAGGGCAGTAGAAGGCTGGAGGTAGGCAGTGGAAGCCAGGCCACGCACGGTCCGGTTGTCTTGGCAAAAAGAGACGTGCCCTGGGAAAATTCATGGGACGCGTCTGCGGGGAACAAGATACAGGTGCGCATAGCTTGACCGTACCCCTCACATTCTACCGCCAGCTTTGTTCCCCTTGCAAAGCCTTCGACGACTCCCCTTTGAGTTTTTGTGTTTTTCGCTTCCGTCAACATGTCTTTTGGCGGCCAGACACCCACTATTGTGGTGCTGCGGGAGGGTGGGTGTCTGTAAACTTTTCATACATGTGTCGCTGACAATTGCAGGTACCGATCAATCGCAGGGTCGGGGGCAGGTGATTTCAAACATCAATGCCTGCCTTGCTGTGCAGGCAACAATCAAGGGCACTCTGGGTCCATACGGCGGTGACCTGCTCATGGTTGACGAGAATGGCCGGCAAACAATCACCAACGACGGTGCCACAGTCATGAAGGTAGACAAGCAATGTAAGCCCAATGCTACAGCCTGAACTAACACTGTACAGCTCCTCGACATCGTTCATCCCGCTGCCCGCGTCCTCACTGACATCGCACGATCGCAAGACGCCGAAGTTGGCGATGGTACCACATCAGTCGTTGTGTTAGCAGGAGAGATTCTGAAGGAGATCAAGGACTTTGTTGAGCAGGGAGTCAGCAGCCAGATCATCATGAAAGGTCTGCGGAGAGCGTCACATCTCGCTGTCAATAAAATCATGGAAATCGCCGTAGACACAGCCGAGGGCAACCAACGGGATACACTCCAGAAGCTTGCTGCTACCGCCATGAGCAGTAAGCTCATCCACAGGAACGCTGACTTCTTCACCAAGATGGTTGTGGACGCAGTACTCTCGCTTGACCAGGAGGAGCTAAACGAAAAGCTCATTGGAATCAAGAAGATTACCGGTGGTGCTCTCCAGGACTCCCTCTTTGTCAACGGTGTCGCATTCAAGAAGACCTTCTCGTACGCCGGTTTCGAGCAGCAACCCAAGAAATTCACGCAACCCAAGATCGTATGTCTGAACGTCGAACTCGAGCTGAAGAGCGAAAAGGACAACGCAGAGGTGCGGGTGGAGCAAGTCTCGGAATACCAGGCGATTGTGGATGCGGAATGGCAGATTATCTACAACAAGATGGAAGCACTTTATAAGACGGGCGCCAAGGTCGTTCTGAGCAAGCTGCCCATTGGTGATTTAGCAACACAGTATTTTGCGGACCGCGACATCTTCTGTGCTGGACGAGTATCGGCTGACGACCTTGACCGCGTATGCCGGGCAACAGGCGCCAGCGTCCAGTCGACTTGCTCCGACATCCAGAGCAAGCACCTTGGAAGCTGCGAACTGTTTGAAGAGCGACAGATTGGCGGCGAGCGCTTCAACTTCTTTGAAGGCTGCCCCGAGGCCAAGACTTGCACACTGGTGCTCCGTGGTGGCGCAGAACAATTCATCGCTGAGGTTGAGCGAAGTCTGCACGACGCCATCATGATTGTCAAGCGTGCGATCAAAAACCGCAACATTGTTGCTGGAGGAGGTGCAGTCGAGATGGAGATTTCTTCCTACCTCCACAACTATGCCGACAGCAATATCCCCCACAAGCAGCAACCGATTATCAAAGCATTCGCAAAGGCTCTGGAAGTTATTCCCCGACAACTGTGCGACAATGCCGGTGTGGATGCGACGGATATTCTCAACCGACTACGTGTGGAGCATAAGAAGGGCAACATCTGGGCCGGTGTCGACTTTACGACTGAGAGCATAGCAAATAATATGGAGAGGTTTGTGTGGGAGCCGAGCCTGGTCAAGATCAACGCTCTGCAGGCAGCGACGGAAGCAGCCTGCCTGATTCTGAGCGTTGACGAGACAATCAGTAAGATATCCGAGTGTGTAGTGATGAAGAAGCGGAGACTAACGGGCATACAGAGAACCAAGAATCACAGCAGCCACAAGCACCCAACAAGCCACTTCCGCCCGGTGCGGCACAAAGGGCACTCGGTGGGGGTGGTCGAGGCCGTGGCCGTGGCATGCCCCGACGGTAAATAGTTGAAAGGGGGGGCAGTGAGGAAATGTATACCAGGATAGAGGAATGCTGATGGTGTGCGATTTGTGAAGCCCGGCTGTCTATGAATAATGCCCAAAGATGACGAAAACGACGACGACAAGAAGATGACAAAATCTACATGATGAAATCCACCAAGAGTTTATTCTAACAAGAGACGCCCGCTGGTGTTATTACGCTCTTTGTCTATTCTATATCCAACGCAGTGCAGTGCAGTGCAACAAGAGGCCAACCAGTGTCTACTAATAGGGCTTGATGCCCCTTTCATCCCAGCTCATGCCATAGCTCTTGACTCTACTGAAATAATAGGCGCGATCGTTCTTCAGGCCAAACTCTGCCCAATCATCCGTCAAGCGGTTGTAGCTCCAGTAGCCTTGCCAGACAAGCCTGTTGATCTTTGCGTTCTTGCCCGCACTGCCGACGGTGAGGGCCATTCTATATATGTACTTGGGTGTTGCACCCGGTGTCTCAATATGCAGCGTTCCTTCCTTTTCAGTCTCCACGTCTAGAGCCTCTTGGCCAGGCGGCAAAGGGATTTCCGGGCCGCTGAGGCGCCAGTGGCCAAGGACGGCATCTTTCATGGGGGCGGTGGGGAGATTGTGATGGTTTTTGTGCAGGTGCTCAATGTATAGGTAGGGTACTACGTCTGGGGGTTCCGAGGTAGTCAGCAGCGAGATGCAGGTTCCGTCGCGGAGGAAGCGTAGGTAGCGGAAGTAGGTGACGATGTGAATGGGCGAGTTCCAGGTTGAGGTTGTGGGTTGGGCCTGGCCAGGGCGTGCGTAGTTTACTGTGCTGATGTAGCACCCGTTGAAGCGGATGCGGGGGCGCTGGCGGAACAGCGTGCGGTAGCTGGGGTAGGGCGAGGGAACCAAGAGTTGGGTCAGCGCTGCAGGAGAAGGAACTGGGTCCGAGGTGAATTGGTCTGTATCGTCCGAGTCTGAGAGACTGAGGTTTGCGGTGCCCAGGATGATGCCTTGCTCGTCTTCGAGCGGTTTTCCGTCAATGCCGCAGGTATAGGTGTAGTGCATGCCTCCGAAGCCGTACTCGTCACCCAGGGCTAGACGTTTCCAGACTCGGTCTTCGGTCAGTACCAAGTAGGCGAGGCGTTTGCATACTTGGGATAGGCGGATAAATGAGGCGAGATCCTGCACGGCGAGCTGCTCCAGGATCTCGACCACGATTTCCTCGGGAATACTGGCGATGGGACATGGTGGTGCGGGGCTGAGATCTGTTGGGGGAGGCTCGGCGAGGATCGATGTTTGTGAGTATCCACTAATTAGGGTTTGCAGAGAAGAGGACAGGCCATGTAGGGAGTGGTGGGCAGTGTTTGGTACCGTAGCTGAGGCATTGGAGGGGTTTGGGTCCTGTGTTTTTGGTGCTGATGGCGGTACTGGAACTGTTGATGAAGATGAAGCAGCAGGAATATGTTGTAGTTGAGGTTTCTTGAAGTAGGATGGTGGATAATGTTTTGCTTTGTATGCATCCTGTACCCTAGAGTCGAGCTGCAGGGAGTCAGCTGAGAAGTTTAAACGCAACAGCGAAAATGCAACACACCTTGAAAGCCTTTCTATACAAGTCTACGCTTTCACCCAGATTGCCCTGGCTTTCCTTTTCTACAGCCTTCTCATAATGCTCCAGGGCAGAGGTAGGTTCTTTGCCTTGTGCAAGAGCGGCAGCGGTCTGAGCGGGGGTTTCATCCAGTCTCCGGCCATGCTGCTTGTCGTCGAGATTGTGGTATATGTAAGATTGGACCTCGTCGCCGCCCTCCAGACTCAATTTACGAGCGTGGGGGTGGGCGTGAGACTGAGACTGAGCCTGTGTTGGATTGGCCTTGGTTGGACGATGCCTGCTTGATGATGATGATTCAGCAGGCGCCTGGGCCTTTGAGCGGGCGGTGACTTCTTCTCTCCATTTCCGACGGAAGGACTCCAGCTCGGCCTCGGTGTTTGTGGGTACGTTATTGGGATCCATGGTGTGCTCAGTTGGTCCCCGGGACGTAGTGGGTAGCGGTTAGATACGGGATATCCGAAGTCGCACGTGGTCACGGGACTTGAGGTTACGGTGGGTGCGGCGGGCGGGTGTGTACGACGGCAGTACAGGATGTACGCAGGGGTTTACATATAAGTATGTATGTCGGGAACCTGCTTACTCCTAGCACGAGCGTAGTGCAGTGTAGTGTACCAAGAGCCTGTCACTGTATTCCAGCCCGGGGCCGATCAAATGAAATAGTCCGGGCACACAGCCGTGCAAGGGCGTTTGATGGGCGAAGGGCGTTCGCAGACGTCGACGATATGGTGACGGGCGCCACCCGATAGGTAGTGTGCACGACAGTAGGCCCGCCATCTGCATCTGATAAACTCCGCGCCCTTTCGGCCTGTCGCCTGCGCCGGTTCGGCCGGCGGGCCAATCAGCGGCCGAGCGCGGGGCTGGCCCATGACGCGCCAAAAGCTTGCAGCTCCGATAATTCACTTTTGTTGCGTCAAAGCGTCCCCTCGCCATCGTCACCACTCGTAGGCCGCCATCACCGCACGAGACGATGCCCTTCACGCCCCTCGCCTGCTCCTGGCATCTCCAATCCTCCCCCAGTGCGGCTTCCGGCTAACACGTCCCCTCTGCTGGGACAAGCACGCACTCCGCCACTCGCCTACCTCTCTATCCCATCAACAATTACTTGCTTATCAATTTCCATACTCAACACCGGCCCGCCACCTTCATCACCACCAACACCACAATGGCTGCGGCCACAGCGAGAGCCCACGAGGCCGACGCCAGCCCGGCCACTGAAGTCTCGCTGGGCCAAAAGATGCTTTCTGCTGTATCCGGCAGTCTGCTCACTTCGTTGCTAGGTATGTCCTCTTTGCCTGCCTGCACATTCGGGTACTCCTCTCGCAAGCATCCCTTCTAACTCTGCCAGTAACACCCCTCGATGTCGTCCGCGTGCGACTGCAATCACAAGAGGCCGCCCCGAGCACTGCCTTCTCACGACCCAGCGGAGCCACTGGCCCATCACTAACACAGTTTCGCGATCTACCCCCCAACCTCGGCATATCGGCATGTTGTCGAGAAGTCTTTTGGGTCAACAACAAAGCACCCTTCTGCGTAGCCGGACCCACAATGGCACCCATCAATCCCGCCGACTTGCACTGCGCCGTAGAAGAGGTAGAGCGGAGAACCATCAACAGCACATGGGACGGCCTGCGCAAGATTGCGCAGAACGAGGGGCCCCGCACACTCTGGCGGGGACTGTCTCCGACTCTGGTCATGACAGTTCCAGCAAACGTCATCTACTTTGCCGGATACGATTGGCTACGCACAGCCAGTGCATCACCGTTGCGCCAGAACATAGCCGATCCCTATATACCCCTCGTCGCTGGAGCCACCGCCCGCGTCCTTGCCGCCATCGCCGTCAGTCCGATTGAAATGTTTCGAACAAGAATGCAGGCCGCAAACCATCCGGCAACTGCCGCTGGACACTTTCGCGAGACATTGGACGGCCTCAGGAACATGGTTGCCAGCCAAGGTGTCTTCAGCCTCTGGAGAGGACTCACTTTGACCCTTTGGCGCGACGTGCCCTTTTCCGCCATTTACTGGTGGGGTTATGAGACTACGAGGAACACTCTGACAGACCAAAGAGGAAGGAGAGCTGCAAGGGAAGACGGGTTCGAGTTCCGCATGGGCCGAGGCGAAGAAAGAGTACGAAGAAGAAGCCGATCAAGAAGCCAAGAAAACCACCGCGATACCCTGGTGGATAGCTTTGTCGCAGGTGCTGCCTCGGGAGCAGTTGCCGCCTTTGTAACAACACCTTTTGACGTGGGAAAGACACGGCAGCAAGTCGTGCGCCATATGGGAGACAGTGCACGCGACGCCGCTAGAGCACGCCCAGAGGACCAGTCAATACCACGCTTCCTAATGCACATCTATCGCGAACAAGGCATGCCTGGCCTGTTCAAGGGCTGGGCTGCTCGTTGTCTGAAAATCGCCCCGGCCTGTGCCATCATGATCAGCTGTTACGAGTTCAGTAAGAAGATCGCCCTCGACATGAATGAGCGACGAGAACAAGAATCCCGACATGCTTGAGCTTCAGGATGTGTCATTGTCTATATTCTTTTATGGCTCGTGTAATTACTTGTACGCGTTGTGTATGATACTTTTCTTATAGCGGCGCATTGGGCATGGTGAAAAAAAACCCACTCACGGTTGCATAATCGGCGTTGACTGCAAAGGTGGGCGACTTTGATTGTAAAAGGATTGGAAAAGTTCTTCCTCAGCCTGTCTTGGACATGCTTATTGTATTATGAAATAGTCAATTAGTAATCAAAACTTATGTTAAATTGGCTGCGTAGTGTCGTCTCTCTTCTTCAACCCCTCCAAGAACGCTAGAAACGCTTGCTGGCACTCTTCGGCCGCTGTCACATAAATCTCATGCCCAGGTTTGAATATCGGCACCAACTGACTTCCCGGAATTGTATCTCTGAGAGCCTCCATATCCTGGGCCTTAACAGCCGCACTCTGTGTCGGACTGAGTATCAGTGTCGGTACCTTAATCTTATCAAGCCACGGCCTCGCGTCCAGCTTAGACAAGAACTCCGCATACTGTGCCAGCCCTTCACCATCACTAACTTCCACTTGTCCCAGATACCAAGGTAAATATACACTGTCTGAAATGGGAATCGTGCCTGGTACTTGCGCCAGTGCTTCCGTCCACCCACGTGTCCCCAGCTGCCGACACGCCGTAGGCCAATCCTTGTGACCGAAAGCAAACATCTGCAGCGCCGCCGGGGGCAGATACGTGGGCGATGAGCATACAGTCAGACTGAGCAGCCGCTCTGGATGCCTTGCTGCGAGTATCTCACCCAGCATCCCTGACGTTGATTCTCCCAGAAAATGCACTTTTTGCAATCCAAGTTGATCGAGCGTATCTATTATCTCCCCAATAATCGTGTCGACATTGTATTCGTAGTCTCCATCTCCTTCTGCCTTACCATTCTCAGCAGTTCCGTTTTCAGTTGATGTGACTGTTTGCTTCTGGCCAGGATAACTAGAGTACCCGTGTCCCCGCAGATCTCGTCTTACAACACGGTAGTGGCGGGATAGCGCTGGGATCCAGTGGTACCAAAATGCGGAGTGGCGGCCAAATCCGTGCTGGATTAATACTGTTTCGTGGGGCTTCCAGGGGTCGGTAAAGTCGTTGAGGATGTAGTGGGACTTTTGGCCGTTGGGATGGAGGATGTAGGTTCGACCTGAGGAGTGCTCGGGTGGCATTTTTTTTGCTGCTGATGTTTTTGGTAATTTATCAGCACAGAGTTGAAGCCAGGATTATTAGATAGGGAGAACAGGTAGTCTGGTGTTTTGAATCAATGTTCCGCTGGATACCTAAAGGAATTAGATGAGAAAGCCCAGAGGGACTTTGAAATAAATATGTTTAGAGCATTTCATAAGCAGCTGCTCACGCGATTACATAATTGCCATATACACACTGGGTCAGACTAGAGGATTACTGAGTTCCTGCTACGACTGTGTGGGGCTGGGGCAATGCGGGGGAAACCGAGGGGAAGGGGCATCATACATATCTACCCCACGCGCGGACCAATGCAGCGTTGCGATACACTCGCAGAGGGGTAAAAAGTGGCTCCGTTGAAGCCGAGTAACCGAGAAAAAAATCTGGATAGAATTTGTTTGACGTCGAAAAAAAAGGACAGTCTCTCAATTTGAAATAGTCAAAATCATCAAAAGCATCTTCTACCATGTCTGTTTTGGGTATTTTTGAAAATGTTTGGGCAAGTCCCTTGTATCTGAAGGTCACCTTGGTCATTATTATACCGATACTCTTTCTCTTAGCTATATACTTCATTATTGTCCCAAATTCCATCAAGGTACAAATATGCTCATGATACACACTTTACAACGAAGACTAATCAGTGACAACAATAGGACCCACGACGCCGCCATCTCCCCCCAGGACCCAAAGGTCTTCCCTTTATCGGATCACTCCTCGATCTCGCAGACAACGATTCCATACGCCACACGGTGAGTGCATGGCGCGCACAGTATGGCGACATCTATTACACAAAAATCGGAGGCACCGATTACATATGGCTATCATCACCCAAAGTAGTCAAAGACCTCATGGACCGAAAATCTGGCATCTATTCCTCGCGCCCGCCCTCGCCCTTGGCCCAGGATGTTGCATCCGCAGATCGCCGTCAACTCTTCATGTCCTACGGCCCACGCTGGCGCAGTGTCCGCAAGCACAGCCACGCCTTGCTCAACCTATCAACCAGCACAAACTACCAGGTGATACAGGATTTTGAAAGCAAAGTCTTACTCAAAGAACTACTCCAGGACCCCAACGACTTCATGGACATCAACCGCCGCTACTCCGCCAGCGTCATCATGCGAGTAACATACGGCTACCGGATCCCCAACTGGAACGACCCCCTCATCAAGCGCATCTACAGCGTACTCGGCCGCTTCACTGAGATGACATCCCCAGGCACATGGGCTATCGAGTCTTTCCCGTCCCTAACATGGGTCCCGCAGGCACTCATGGGAAACTGGCGATCCTACGGCCAGCGCGTCTTCGAACAAGACAGCGCTGTATACGTTGACCTGTGGAACAGACTCAAGAAAGAAACTGATGCCGGGATAGCCAAGGACTGCTTCACAAAGACTTTCTACCTTAATGATCCAGCCAAAGCGGGTATCGATGATCTCGCTGCTGCATATACCTGCGGCGGCCTCATCGAAGCAGGCTCTGAAACCACGGGAACGACGCTGAATAACTTTATGCTTTCTATGGTGTTGTTCCCCGAGGTACAGAAACGGGCACAAGAGGAGTTGGATCGCGTGGTTGGTAGTGAGAGGTTGCCGCAGTGGGAAGACGAAGCCAATCTCCCATATGTACGGAGTGTGATTAAGGAGGTGCTCAGGTGGAGGCCTGTGAATAAGTTTGGGATGCCACATGCGACTAGTGAGGACGATTGGTATGAGGGCATGTTTATCCCCAAGGGGAGTGTTGTGGTGTTGAATTGGTGGTAAGTCTATCTTCTCGCCCCCCCCCCCCCATTCGAAACTACGTTGGAGTCGTTTGTTCTTCTATATTGCTACGGAAACTGATGCAAACTATTCGAATAGGGCTATACACTACAATCCCGAGCTATGGTCTAATCCAAGCGCTTTCGACCCTTCGCGCTACCTCAATCACACCGCGTCCGCAGCACACTACATGAACGCCGCCGACCCCTCTGAACGAGACCACTTCTCTTATGGCGCGGGCAGACGCGCATGCCCCGGTGTTCACGTTGCTGAGCGCTCTCTCTTCATCAACGTGTCCCGCGTTCTCTGGGGTTTCAATCTGTTGAAGAAAAAAGGCAAAGACGGCAAAGAAGTTCCCGTCAATGCGAATATGGAGCAAGGCTTCTTCAGCGTGCCCCAGCAGTTCGAATGCGATATTCGGCCCCGGAGTGAGAAGCATGCTAGTATTATGAGGGAGGAAAGTAGGAGGGCGGAAGAGAAAGAATTGGATATTTGAAATGAAGAAATTATGGGTGTTTCTTTCCTTTTTGATTACGAGAACGGTTTTCATAGTTGATTTATTTATTTTTCATATCTACAACGAAATCATGGCTATTTAATACCCATTCCTCTTTGGTGGCTCCTTGTATCCCTCATTCCAGAACTTATGGCTTTCGAGGCCAATCCACCGCTGACTCTCGTTCACAAAATCAACAGGCTGTCTGAAATAGATATTTTCCTGAGATAACTCTACCGCTTGTCCCGTCAATTTGTCGTCCTTCAAAAACGCATCAATAGCCTTGAGCACGGTCGAAAGCGGCGTAACGTGCTCTTTTGGCCAGCGCGCCGCTACTTCCGGGGGACAAAGGTTTGTCGGGATGAACGCCGGACAAATGGCATTGACGGTAATGTTTTCGTTGATGAAATTTGGGGCGGAAGCCCGGACGAAGCCTACGACACCGTATTTGCTGGCTGTGTACTGGGGGCATTGTGGCATGAAGCTATATTTCTTCTCGTTAGCCCAGCTCCATGACCATGTCCCGTCTTTTTTTTCCTCTTGAACAGACATTGCGAAATTGGAAGAATAAACACTTACTACAACCCCACCGCACTGCTCGTGGCAACAAAATATCCCTTTCCCCCACCCGCCTCCTTACTCCTTCTTACATAATATTTGAACAGCCAAAGCCCCTGTATGACAGCCTCAAGATTCACATCCATAGTCTTCGTATTCAACTTCTTAACCAGTCCCTCTTCATCCACCTCTTCCTTGTCCATGCCTTCATAAACATTCTGTCGATCGTCGATTCCAGCATTGGCATGGCAGAAATCGAGGCGGTTACCGCCCCATTCGTAGGCGCGCTTGAAGAGCTGCGCTTGCGATTTGTAGGATGATACATCTGTCTGGTGGAAGAGGGCGTCTGCGCCCAGGGCTGAAGCGACGCGTTGACCGGAGGTGGGATTTAGGTCAGCGATAACAACTTTGTAGCCTAAGGAGTGCAAGTGGGTTGCTGTTGCTTCACCAATGCCTGAGCCGGCGCCTGTTACGATGGCTACGGGTTTGGACATGGTTGCTTTTGGGAATGGGTTGTGTGGGGTTTTCTGGTGTGATGTTGGTGGATCTAGAGATACAGTATGCACAAAGGTATTGACCCCACGGAGTCTATGTTCTGGACTTGAGAAAAGGCAACGCGAGCGACGAAAAGTTCACGCAAGAGAAGATTCTGTACTGATTCTGTTTCCAGTGAGAAGAAGGGATTTGTGGGGTAACAAGTGCCGCTGCGACAATTGATCCAGAGGTGTCACGTCAAAGGCCCACATCCGACGTCGCATCTTTGCCGGACCCATAAGTTCTCCAGTTGTGCAAGTCGCTGTGGTTTCTGGGCGCAGACATGGTGATGGAGTGACCCCACATGCGACTTGCTAGAATTGTCGTGGGGTAGGTTGAGATACCCCTCACTGAACTACTTGAAACGTGCGGGGTGAAAGAGGTCGGGACGCAATCGTGTGGGACACCTCGGAAAGCATTTTGCGTAGTATAGTACTATGGGTATTACTTTTTAGAAATGGTGCTTCTCTATTATTGTAGTTATGCCGCATCATGCTTCTCATCATCTTACTTTACTGTAAATTTTTGGGCACGTGCTAGGCATTTTCCAGTACTACTGTGTGAATGATTAGACTACAGATCTATTTCTGTAAGTCAAATTCAAGAAGATGTGTTCAATAACGTTTTTTTTCTATCTGATAAGGTGGTAGGTATGCAATTTCGTTGATTTTGGCTTGACGCCTTTTTGCGATTCCCAAATCTCCGTGTAGCGTTCGCTCACTATCAAGACATTCAACTCGGTATGCTCATTTGCCTATTAATTCTACTTGGCCTCACCGTAATGTTTGATCCATGGCCTCTCATTCACTTTCCCGCCAGAAATATATCCCACGCTCCACTCAGTTCATCCAAATCCACCTTTTGTTCTCTTATCAATTTCTCCAATTTATTTTCCTTACAACCACCCTCGCCGTAACATCTTTCCAAACCATCATCCCACGTTGCATTTGCCTTTCCACTCGCAAACACTACAAAGTCTTCTGCAAACCTCCTAGCTGTTTCCTTCGCCTCATCATCCATATAATCATTAAAGTTCTGGAACAAGAATGCCGCATCCAGCAAATGCGTACTCTTTCCCTTGAACATCCCATCCCAAGGATTTCCTTGATTGAATCTATATGTCCAGGTCCTCCCCTTAAATGCGCGAGCATAGTGTTGCGCAGGTGCATGATATGCAATGTCTGTAGCCAGGTCGATGATATAATCTTTGGCTTCCTCGTCGGGAGTCGAAGGATTTACGCCGTATGTAGAAAGGACAATTTGAGCCGCCGGCGCAGACAGAGAGCGAGAAAAAGAGGAAGTGAGAGCCGACGCGATATTTGGGAAGAGAGAGGATAGACCCATGAAGAAAAAGACGTTGCCGTCGTGTGCGCAGGAGCCGATCAAAAGTTCTTCGCAAAATGTATCGTTTAAAGGTGAGAGGTTGTTGTTTCGCAAGTCCGTGAACGTCGGGGTTTGAGGAAGAATATTGTTGTCCTGGAAAGGTATGAGAGGAACAGTCATGGGAGTTTTTTCGACAAGCTCTTCCGAGCTGATGTTGAGAAGGCGGTTGATTCTTTCCTGCGTTGAAGTGCCTTCAAGCCCCAGAGCTTTTGTAATGCTGTCATAAGATGCTTCTGCGGCAGAGGCAGACATTGGCTTAAGCATGAGCGGTGTCCCGGACATGCTGATCGCACGCTTGAAGAGTGGCTCTCTAGCACTCAGCTGATGCAATACCGACACTAAATTCACATCAGTATGCGATCCCTCACGAAGCCATTTACTCAAGAGAAAACCAAACGAGCCGGCATCAGACTCACCAGCACCAGCACTCTCTCCAAGCACCGTCACATTGTCCTTATCCCCTCCAAATCCCCCAATGAATTTCTTCACCCATCTCAGTGCACATTGCTGATCCCTCAAGCTATTATTTCCAGGATATCCCGCTCTTCTCAATTCTTCACTGGTCAAGTTGCCCAGTATGCCCAAGCGAAAATTGATGTTGACTGCGACAATAGGCATTTTCATTTCCACAGACATTTTAACCAGTTGACAGGGGTCATATTGCGGCCAGTGTGACCCACCCATGATGAAGCCGCCACCATGAATGAACACCATGACTGGCAATCCTCCAGATACAAGAGTGTCAGCAGGAACAGTCACGTTCAAATTCAAGCACTCTGTGCCTGACATGGGAAGATCTGGACCGCCGCCAATATCACACTGTATCAACGTGGACTGCTCAAAAGCGCAACCATCCATTGCAGGTGCGCGGGGTCTGTTGAGCCGGAACATTAGCCTTGCAAGTACTCAACATACAATCTGTACAAATAGTAGCGTTAAGAAAGAGGAGAAGCGAAGCCCAACGTACCCAAACTCCGTCGCATCCACCATTTCAGAGCCATATCCAGTAACCAGCTCAGGAGCCGCCATCTGATTTCTCAAGAAAGCATACTTGATACCTCGATACTGCACCACGCCATCCTCCCTCCACCCCTTAAACGAACCAAATGGCGTACTGCAGCTCATGTTTTATTTGAGCAAAAATAAAAATGTCTCAACGAACAACCTTGAATACGCCCGGAGATTCAATCAATCGGAAAGGAACAAAGTTGAGTAAACAAAAATAATCTCAATCCCAGTCTTCCCATCTCAACCTGTTTATATTTCCCCCTTTTCTTCAAAAAAATTAGCATCACTCCTGTCTTATCTATGTATACCCACAAATATACCCTACCCTCGCTTCTCTACATGGCCAGAAAAAAGCATCACAGCACATATCAAGCTTCATCATTCGAAAAGCTCAGACCCTCATCCTTCAGGATCTAGATCCAAGTGGGTACTAGGCGGTGCTCAGCCTCGCTCACATGTCAGGGGGGCCAGAGTACTTGCTTGAATTTTGCTGAATGGCATGATTTTTCTTTCTTTCACGGTTGCCTAATTGCAGAATAAAGGAAGTAGCTAGAATTGGCAGGTGAAGGGGTGAAGTATGGACTCGGGGTTGATAAGCAAGATCCACTTGAGCTCGCTGAGCCACTTTAAGTTGCGTAAGTTCAGTATTGGCAGTAAGTATGAGGGAGAGAAGGGCGTAGCATTCCAATTGCCTTCATTCCATTTCCACGAATATCAGCATATCAATTCCTCAGATTTGCAACCGTAGCTTGCGGGGAAGAAAAAAAATGCCACTTCTTGAATTCGAACATCTCTACTATATACAGCTTCCTCCCCCAGCTCAAAACTTCGCGTCAACACTCTTCACAAGCTCCCCACCCAACCTCCTAACCTCATGCACAATCGCCTCTTTATTCACCCTAATCTCAACCTTATCCTTCTTCCCTACCGGCACACTATTCCACCCAACTTTAATCTTCCAACTCCTCTGACCGGTAACAACCGGATTCCAGAGTCCCACAATCTTATCTAGACTCTCCGGATCCCAGAACCACAGCACCGCGTCGCCGTAGACTTCTGAGAGTTCTTCGGCGAATAGCTGGGGTAGGGGAGTTGGTGCGGGTAAGGGACTTGATGACTTTTGGAGGTCAAGGTTCTTGAATTGGGTGGTGGGTTTGCGGGATTTGGATGATTTGAGGCTGTGTTTTGAGGAGATGGAAATGATGATGTCGAATTCTGATATGCTGGGGACGAAGAGGAACTCTGGGCTTAGAGTATCGTACGCTTTGGACGCATCCTTGTTGTTGCTGATATGCTTTAAGAAGCCATCTTCGTCTGCGCGAACAGCCTGTGTGGCTGCTTTGGCCAGAGCCGTCAAACGTGAAGCAACTACCTTTTCTGGCTCTGCTTTATCTGTCCAAGTGGTGCCTTCTTCGTCGAGGTTTGTGGCTGCGAAAAGTACGACGCGATTCATGGCAGGATCGATACGTCGCCATGCCTCGAAGCGTGTTCGTAAGCGGTCGAGATCTTCTAACCTCATGCCCTTCAGAGATGTGTCTTCAAGATTGGCGGGATTGGCGGAGAAAGATGTTGAAAAATCTACAATTAAGGGGACATGACGCCAGTCCCATCGACTAATCCACGATAAGGTCCGTAAGAAACCCGTTGTTGCTGTTGATGGCACAGGCCATGGTTGTGGCTGTAGGAACGTCCGTATAACAAGAAGTTCAATGAGCTCGGGCGAAAAGTGCGGTGCGAGCAGATGCGACGCGAACCACTTCTTTGTCAATCGTATCGCTGGCGAAAGTGCCAAGAATCTGGTGCAAAGCGTTTGTAGTGCTTGCGAATGTTGAGGTGATTGGATGAACTCGCGCTTGTACAGTGCCAGAGAAGCAGCAGCAGACTCTCGCGATTGAGTGTCCAATGATTTGTCCTTGATTTGGCGTTCGAATAGCGTAGGCTCACGATCATGGTAGATACGAATGCGGAATGTGAAGCCCGTAGCAACTGTTACATCCAAGAATGCCTGGTTTTGAGCCGGCTGTGAGGGATTTTCCATACCAATACGCGCAACATAGCCAGACTCCAATTTATGTAGAAGCTCAGCCATTCGGAGGAGGAAAGCAATCTTAGTCCGCTGAATGGCGCACAAGTCATCCGGCCAGCGTCCAGAACCTTCAAATTGCAATACGATTGATGCTGGAGCGTGGCCCACAGTGGGAACGTCAACAGATGCATACCGTAGTTGCGGATCGGCAGCTCTCAGATGGCGAAGTTGAAGCGGTAGCTCTTCCAAGTCCCGAATGTCCTTTTCCATGGCACTAAACGCGTTCATAATGGGAAGAAAGGGCGCGGTCCCAGACTGTCCCTGCATACGGCCTGCCGATACAAGGTGGCCGAATGCATCAATTGTGAACCTGGCTTGCTCAGATACCTGTGAACCATGGTGTCTGCCAAGTATGTAGAGAACAAGTTGCTCCATGACAGATGCTGATGTATCCTTGACCGTCCAAACAACACTCTCCAGAATACTTCCGTCTTTGAAGCGCCTGAGCTCAGCCTTTTCGCCCCAGAACTTGCGGAAGACAGCAGCCTCTTGTTTGTTTTCTGCTGGAGGTCCATGATCCACAGTACGAGTGGCGTTGGCAGGATCTGTTTCGAAGTTGATGAGGATGCTCTTGCTCTGCCTTTCCTGAGGGCGCCTTGAAGATATCGACCAGCTTTCCTCCTCGGGCATAGTGAACGATATGGCGGTGATACGGTCGGTCAGCGCATGGGTCAGGGTGCTATGTATTTTTCGACATGTTTCGCGAAGCTGCAAATCGTATTCTTCACTTCCAGCTTCGAGACCGAGCGAGGCAAGGGGAATCTCGAGTGTTGCATCGTAACGGTACTTGAGCAGTTCAGTCTTCAGAATGAAGGCTGCATCAAACTGATCAGATACAGAATCGCTCAACATGTCAACAGTAGCCTTTGCTTCTAATTGCAGACGCTTGTACGACCAGGGTGTCATCTTGAATAACACATTCTGTCCTCGCGGTCCGTCAAAGACGACGGGAGCGGTCTCTGCCTTGGGGATAGTGATGTTGGATGCTTGGAAGATGAATGGCTTCTTCGTCAGATCCCCACGCGACAGAAACTGCAGCGTCGACTTGAATAGTTGGTAGCTGCTGAAACTTGAAGAGACTGATTGAGCACCTGTTCCAGCATTTGGCTGAAGCAGAATAGCCATAATGGCAGCCCACTCGAATTTTCCGAACCCTCCTTTGCGAATCTGACTGCCAAATCCGCGTTGCTTCAACCAAATGCGCCCCAAAATGCATGCATCCTTGAAAGCCTCAGCCTTCGAGGCTGTGCCGTGCAAGAGCTTAAGGTATGCTGTGATGTTTGCATCAGATTGCAGGCTGCTGTTGTAGAAAGGTGTCGCTGTGAGAGTTTTGCTTGAATTTTCGTCTTCGCTACCTTTAGGCCGCACGCAATTGGAGGTCGGGAGAAGCTTGTTCTGGGCAAAAGTGTGTTCTGGGAGCGCCACAAGCACGTTGATCTGGCATTTTGAGCTAGAAAAATCGTCCGCATCGCCATTGCCGCTCGGTCGCACGACAAGAACAGGCTGAAGCTGGTTCCCATTCAAGCTATCAAAGAACAAATCAAATTTGTGCTCTTTTGAGGCCTTGATTCCTGCCGCCAAGCAGGCCAGATAGTATGCGCGCTTATAGAAGTATCGGTGGTTCAGATAGTCCTTGTCTTGGAACAGACTCTTCGGCATGGTCACGACAAGATCAATCGCAAATCTCTCTTCGACTCGAGTCGCGGTTTTGAGGGGGTAGCTACCGGTTGCGTTTACGCTTGCAGGCCGTTCGTATTGCAGTTTGTACAAAGCATCTTTCGGTGGGCGAGGGCTTGGGAAGGGAGTCACAACGCCAGCCGATTTGAGCACCTTTTCGGCCTCGACAATCTGTAGTATTTTAGTATTGGCTGATGGTGTATACAACGATCCTGGCTTACTGGAAGTGGGTCACGGCTAGGAATCTGCTCGATTATAGTCTTGAGGGTTCGCATTGCATTCTCAGCAGATGCCTCCTTCTTGCCGTACTTGAGTTTGACCTGTTCAAGCAGCTCGTCTACCTGAAGCTTGAAAATGTTCGACTTGAAGGACTCCACAGTGTAGACGCCGTCCTGAAGACTGGGTGCTGGCCGCTTGGGCGGCTTTGGTGCGCTCGTGGCTTTGGCGGTTGTGGTCTGCTTCTGGCTTTCCTGAACATTCTCTTCAGCTTCGGAGCTTTCTTCCTCGTCTTTGCTCATGTTTTCATTTTCATCGTCGTCATTGTCGCCATCCTCCATCTCTTGCGCGCCGTCCATGGACATGTCGTCGCTCTCATCGTGCCCATCTTCAGCGTCGCTTCCATTCGAATTCGCACCGCTGTTGGTTTCGTCAAAGTCGGCAAAGCTACCTTCGCTCTCTGCTTCCGAGTCGCTATGCTCGAGCTTTCTTCGTTTAATTGCGGGCGGTGCCATTTTCGCGTGGTGGAGATTGTCGCATGCGACGCGAAATTTCTCTGGAACTTTTCCCGCGGGAGTGCCTTATCGATAAGCAGGGATGCAGCATGTCATGCTTGGGTGCTAGGGTCATGACAGCTCATGCACGTCTCTTTATGTATGACCCCCTCACCCAGACTCGGTGAGGGGAACAGCTTGCCGCGATATAAACTTCAGTTTTGTTTCCTTGAGTAGTCATCACGGCACTCTACTATATTCATGTAATACTATTCCTTCTGTATGAATACGCCGGCCAGACCATACACTCTTCACTGCCTTCTATCTTTGTATCACTACCCACGGTGCCTTTCCTAACAAAACTTATCCGCATTTGCGGTCCATTCTTCTTCACCAGATATACGCGTAGTAACACACCAAGCAGAGCTTTCAGCATGGCCTGGCGAAGCTCTGGTGACACTAATGAGGCTCTCGTCACCAATCTTGCGAGCAACAAGCTCATCAAGTCTGACAGAGTCAAGGATGCAATGTTAAAGGTAGGAAGACTCAACACCACAGGTAAGGTGGCATTCGATGAAGATACATAGGTTGATCGCGCGCACTATGCCCCATCCTCGCCCTACGAAGACTCGCCCCAACCCATCGGCCACCGTGCGACCATCTCTGCCCCGCACATGCATGCCTCGGCCTGCGAATCGCTCCTCGACTATCTCAAACCGGGATCCAAGGTCTTGGATGTCGGCTCAGGCTCAGGCTACCTAACCGCAGTCCTTGCCAACCTTGTCGTGCCCAACGGAACGGTAATTGGGATTGATCACATTCAGCCCTTGAACGATCTGGCAATAGCCAACATGTCCAAATCGGACCAAGGCCGGAGGATGTTGGAGTCGGGACAGGTCAAGTTTGTTACTGGGGACGGACGAAAAGGTTGGGCCGAGGGTGCACCATACGACGCTATCCATGTTGGCGCTGCGGCTGCTGAGCACCATCAGGTCCTGACCGACCAGCTCAAAGCACCAGGGCGCCTGTTCGTGCCCGTTGCAGAGGGCTGGGCGCAGCATATCTGGGTAATTGACAAGCGAGCGGACGGAAGCCTCGAGCGCCAGAAGTTATATGGTGTGCAGTACGTGCCCTTGACGGATGCGCCTGCGTAAGTTGGAAGTTTCAATAACAAATCGGAGCGGACAGAGGCTTGAGTCTGCACATGCAGGTTTTGTGGACCACCCTACGATCAATCCATTTGTACCATTACTGTGTTACCAATCCCTCAAACAATTCGTCTCTTCGCTTTCGCACCTCGTCAAGTTTGACCTCTAACTTGCCAACCTCTTTCCTTGCAGCCTCTTTATCAGCAGGCAACCCAGCAAACTCTGCAACCTCCCTCTCTATGCCCTCTACCTTCTCTCGAAGCCCATCCAGGGCTTTTTGTTGCTCCAACATGTCATTTATAGCTTCTGCAGATGCAATGTTCTTGGAACCTGGTGTCATGCTGCGTGACTGTGATGACTGGAGGGACGACAGCTTGTCTTCGTATTCTCGTATCTTGGTGCGAAGGTGCTTGACTTGACGTGTTTGCTCAGTAGTCTGGCGTTGGAGATTCGCGGGGGTTGTGAAAGCGGGATTTGTTTGGAGCTCGTGCAGTTGTGTCCGAAGTAGGGATTGTTGCTTGTCGACGTAACCTTGCAGCGTCGCGATGTGTGCGAGCTGGTTGGTGAGATTCTGTGAGGTAGTTGTATTGTAGATGAGAGCGTGCGCGATCGACTCGGGGTTCGCAGTGGGTGTATTAAGAGTGACTGCTGTTGACCCCAATGCATCAAGCGCCTGCTCGCCCTCGGGCGTGAGACTGGCTCTCAGCCTAGACAATATACGCTCGTCGTCGTCATTCCTTTGGACCTACCGTTGTGAGCAGCGTACTCAGGGCATGGTAGCTGACGCGGACCTGTAGTTCTCATACCTCATCCAGCTCGCGGAGCGCCTCTCTCTCTACTCGTTCGAATACAGCTCTCTCTTCGTCAGCCCTTTCGTTTGCTACTGACAACTCACGCAGCACCTTGAGTGTTTCGTCATTGCGCTCAAATGTCGGTACCGTGCGCCCGGCATACTTGTACGACAGCCACGAGTCAATCTGCGCCCAGTCCTGGGCTTGCGCGCGTTGCTGGCGCGCCTTTGAGGGCGAGAAGAGGTCCGAAGGTGTAAGCGAGTCCATGACTGTATACACAACGTGGTGCGGCTTGTGTTGGAGGTGCTGAGTGTGTTCTGGCTGTGTTGGACTAAACCCCCTGGTGAGCACTCACAACTCCAGGGTGGGGCTAGGGTGAGCATGTACTACGTAGCAGTCGTGGTGCACAAAGTGGATGCACCGAGACTCCGAAAGGCGGACAGAGACTCGGAGAAACTGACTGTTTGCATTATCGATAACCTTATTTTCCAAGTGCCGAAGTCGGAGCTAATCGGCTTTTGGTATAATCTCTTTGGTGACTGGACTCATTACCCCATACATATCTGATTTGCCTTCTGTCGTCGAGTTTTGCACAACTTTCTCATTCTCCTCGCCACACTCAAAAATGTCGCCGATGTTACTCGAAAACGACGTCGAAGTCGGAGAGAGTCTTCCGCCGTCAACCGAGCACGTGCGTATACCTTTCGGTACCCAATGCTGCTCTTTGGTCTAACACGTGATAGGCAGTGAGTGTTTCGCTGCCAACATGGCGGGCAAATGTAGGTTATGAGGAAGGTGAAGAATGGGTTCTCAGCAAGATGAAGACGGGGTATCCGAGGTACGTGGTGGCGAGACACACAGCAATCGTATAACTGACCGCAGACAGATTCTTCATTCACAAAAGCATACAAGCATTTGTGGCAGCAATTGCCGAGAAACACGGACGTGAGAATGAGAGTGCCATGTTGTTTCCAACACATTCCACTGCATCGAGATGCCAAGAGTTCATTCTTCAGCAAGTGCCCGATCTGGATGCATCGCAAGTCAGGATTCTCGACTTCTTACCAACGGGCGAAAAGGCAAGATCAAAAGAATTCGACGTAATCTCTCCTAGAGTATCTGCCGTGCTTTTCCCAAAAGATCGCTTCAGCACAGCAAAGGCTTTCTGGCAACATTCTGGTGACGGTGTATCAAGTCGGAGAGCAGAGTTCTGCGCCCAATTGTTCAAAGAAGGTACCCTAGTAGAAGCTTCAACGCTCAACAAGCCACCGAGGGCACCCAAAGGTCCCCGGCGGTACCAAAAGAACACGTCAGTCGACCTCGCTCCTTCGGCTGATTCTGCAAATGGCAACGGAGAAGTGCAAGATCCAACTCGGTTTGTAGAAGAGCGGTTCGGACGCAACCTGGACCTCTCCAAGACTAAGAAAGCCAAGCTGGCAGTTCGAAGACGTATCGCGGGTTCCCTCACCGCAGATGTTGAACTGGCTGAAGCGATCAGCCTAGATCAAGATGCTGTAAGGACTAGACCAGTCGCAGGTTTTTCAGAAGACGACGTCTATCTGTATCCGACTGGAATGAGTGCAATCTTCAACTCTCATCGAAACCTACTAAGGGCAAAAGGCTCCAGAAAAGCCATTGTGTACGGATTTCCTTACATTGACACACTCAAGATTACTGAAAAGTTCGGCCCTGGTTCTCAATTTTACGGCTTTGGCTCCTCGGAAGAACTAGACGATCTGGAACGGCGATTGGAGGGCGGCGAGAGGTTTCTAGCTCTGTTCACAGAATTTCCCGGAAATCCACTTTTGACGTCGCCTGATCTTGAGCGGATACGCAAGTTGGCCGACAAGTATGATTTCTGCGTTGTTGTAGATGAGACAATTGGAAACTTCATCAATGTCAATGTATTGCAGTTTGCAGACGTTGTAGTCAGCAGTTTGACCAAAGTCTTTAGTGGGGACTGTAATGTCATGGGCGGAGGGTTAGTACAGATAAACTCCCGTTTACAACGAGTATCAACTGACATGTCACAGCCTTGTGCTCAACCCAAAGGCGAAAAACTACTCTCTCCTCAAACGCACCTGGGAAGAAGACTACGAAGACAATCACTGGGCTGAAGACAGCATTTTCCTCGAGCGCAACAGCCGAGATTTCGTCTCGAGAATCGACCGTATCAACGCCAACGCAGAGGCAATTTGCGATGTGCTGAGCTCACATCCGCGTGGTAAGTTTTGTCGTGTTCGACTGTGTTCCATCTGAGTCGCTCTAACGTCAAGCAACGTAGTTAAACAAGTAAACTATCCCAAAACATCGCCTTCGCGCCCCTACTACGATAGATGCCGGAATCCCACTGGCGGCTACGGCGGTCTGCTCTCTGCAACATTCCACATCAGAGCCGACGCCATTGCCTTTTTCGACAATCTCGATACTGTTAAAGGACCCAGCCTGGGCACAAATTTTACGCTTAGCTCGCCATATGTGATTCTTGCACATTATGGGGAGTTGGATTGGGTAAGTGTTCTGAATCTCAGTGAAGTATGTCGGATTCGCTGCTAACAAGTTTGCCATAGTGTGCCAAATGGGGTGTGGAAGCAGATCTTATTCGTTTCAGTGTGGGATTGGAGGAAACGAGTAAGTTGGTGGATACGTTCAAGAAGGCGCTGGCAGCTTTGCCGGCGCAGGCAGCTGGAGAGACGAAACAGTAAGGTTGGTAGTCATGGTAAGTGACGAGTAGATAGCCAATCAAATTTTGTAGCTTTTCGTAATATCTTGATTGGTAGAATGACTAGCAATGGGTGATCTAGCTCGTACTTGGTCTTTGTTTTCCGTGCTTATTCAGAGGTGGAACGAGGAGGCGGAAAAGGAGATTGCGTTGCGATGTTCTTGTGCATACGGGGCCTATCATGAGTGGGGTATTGCTTTGTCAGATGGATGCTAGCTCTCTACACACATGGTATCGAGCTGTGAAGACATGGTCTGCAGATACGCTGGCGCGCGGAAAACTGAACCTCGATGAATGTCAGAGTCGGATGCATTTTTCCTGGCAGCAAGTAACGCTATGCAAGACATTTACGGGGACGGACTGAAAGTGTCGGTACAAGAGTGGGGGTTCGGCGTTCATTTGTAATGACGGGTGGATGCCTTATCGTGGGACTAGTTGCAAGGTGTCAGATACGTAGTTGGGCCGTCTCAGCTGCCATGGGACCGATGACTTCTTGGGCAGCCGCATGGCACTAGGACGGGTAGAACATGATGTAACACGGTAATGATACTGTCGACGCTGCAGCGCGCCTTGGTGTCGGTGAAGCTGGTGGTCAATAAGCAGTATGTATGGGTGTACGTGAGGAGGTAGTGTGACGCTCGCGCGCTCGTCACGGCGATGGCATGTGGTGTTGAGTGGGCTTGGTGGTAATGGGCTAGTCGCTCGGGGATGGTGGTAAGTAGATACATAAGTAGACAAGGTGAATGGGCCATGGAGGTCGGAGCAAAGGAGCGCGCCTATCGTAATCGTAGGGTGCTCGTGTGTACTACTTAGTGTAGGGAACCTGGGAAGCTTGGAGATCGGTGTAAATTGAGCCCGCTGCTGTGATCCGACTCATGGCCAGCTCGGCTCGAGTCGTCGTCCAAGTCAGGCCCGGGGCACTGGCCCCGCTGTTTTGCGGCGTCGATGCTGGTCGACGCTGGTGGCTGACTTGACGTGGTGGTTGTGTTTTGGGGGGGGAGGCCACAAGAGGCGCGCCACGGGCATGCAGCCTCTCTTGGCACTGCCATTGGTGCCGCCCGGCAGTCTCCGCGCGGCTGCCGTTGCGACTGTCGTCCCAGACTCACAACCGGCCATGCGTCTTCAAACATCCAAGTACACTACACTACTTACACAGGCCACTACTCACATCCACTTATCCACACATCCACATCCACACCCACACCCACACATGTACCCACATGCTCATACACACATATGCACACAGACACAGACACATGCCACGCCCAGGCGCTCTGGCGACGTCAGATCCTGGGCCCTCAGCTGGATGCGGTGGGGTCGCCAGAAGACGATGGACCCCAAGCATGCGAAACAGGGCATTTGCAGTGCAGCCCAACATCCACCACGCATCCGGACATGGTGGGTGCAAGGGACCGCGGGCTGCCCTGGATACATAAATTCCCATGTACTGGGAGAAGTCATATGCCCGAAGGCGTGCCGACCGCCTGCCGGTGCTAGTAACGGCACCGCTTCCGAATGACAACGGGCCGCTTGGGCGACGCACGCTCTCGGGCCACAGCTGTACCAGCAGTAGCGAGCCAAACATAGAAACCCTCTGCGCACAAACACTCGCCGTCTGGGGGGCCACGCTGGAGATAGGCAACAGGCGCCCTTTGTGGCGGTGCCAGACACCCCCCCGTATCCCAAGGCCTCGACGGCACCAGCTCTGTCCTCACACGCCATGTTCCTATCCAGGCCGTCCAGGCCGAAATCACTCGTCCACTGCTACTTTCCCTCTTGTACACCTCCGGCCCACCCGGGCCTGACGCAGAGAGATTGGACAGGCCACGCCCTCCACAAGGGCCAGACTCGACGCGGTATGGCTCTTCGTCTCGAGCGGGAAACCATAAACGCCACCAACCCTCGACATGGCACCTCAGGGCGTTCGTCAGTGCTCGCATAACTTCCCCTCCCAGTGCCGTATACAGACATATGCCAGTCGTCGACAGTGGGGGGTGCCATCCAACTCGTCTCAGCGAATGGCCGTCGAAAACAGGTTGACGCTCTGGATCATGACCACAATCTAGTCCTCACTGAGCAGGGCAAGCATGCCTGCCATCACCCCACTTGACACAATCGCGCAATACTTACTGATGTGTGGATACCCCCGGCCTACACCAGCTATTGCGGGTGCATGTTCTGTGGCTAGTCAACGGCCGGAGGACTAGCACTGTCAAAGACCGGGTTGCGCATCCTTCGAGGCTCCAATCAGTCCCCCAGCCGCAAAGCCGGGAAAAGCGCTCTGCCTCTGTTGGGCCATGAAGCTCAGATACCGTGTTCCTGTATTTCCAGGCATCCCCCATGCACCAAAGCACACCACTCGCCCATGTTCCAACATCAAGGTTTCAATGGCAATTCTGCCTTGGTGTAAATTGCCCATAAGGCTCGTATAATCCCACATAGTGAGCCCTGTCCACGCACCAAACCGTACGTCTTACCCCCTTCTGGCCCCCTTCACGTCCGATGGGGTCTGTCTGCTGTTGAACATGACCCATTGGTCTTCCAACCCACATCAACCCAAGACGACGACCATCTCACGAAGACTTAGGGACCGTGCCAACCAGCATCTGTCTGTTCAGCCACCAGAAATTCCACAAATAAGGGGGCCTTATTCGTGCCGTGCCGCAACCTTGCCAACGCCCCGCCACAATCCCATTGATTATCAGACGCCCGGTTCGCACCTACCTTCGCTAGCCTGGAATACCTCACACATTCTCGACGACACCTCACACAATCGCTTCTCTCAGCCAAATTCCCCTGCCCAGGATCGATTCTTGGACTCCACGAGCGCGCAAACTACACACTTCTCTCTCGACGAATCTCATCCAGGCTCAGACTCGACAGTCGTGCCCACGACTAGTAACCAGATAGTCCGCACGGATCATATCCTCCTAACACAAAGTCAACAAACCCCCACGTCGCCGTCAGTGTCTACATCTACCGGGCACTCGCTCCAACTTCAATCACTGGCAGACTTTGAGCAGCCGCACGACCCAATCCTCGAGTCACAAGATATGAGGTACGAAACCCCGCCGACTGTTGTGATCGAATAGCATCTCATGTACACAGCACCTTGGGCTTCATGATGCCTTCTTCGCAATATGGTATGGGCCATTACGGTTCTTCCCAAACATCCTACGCGCCTGGCTACCCACCCTCCCAACCCTATGGAGAGCCAAGGGCTTCGGCACCAGGCCCATATGGCCCACCTTACTCTTCCAGTCCAGCCCCAAATGAAAGTCAACAAAGAAGAAGCGAACAGCACGCAGTCCAACCGCCCTACCCACCTCAGCACCCTTCACTTCCGCGAAGCCCATATGAGCAACACTCATCAGATCATATGCGAGCCAACACAGCCTCTATGGGTACCAACACGCACGCCTACACTTACTCCACCTCCCATAGTACCATTCCCAATCAGCCGCTGGGGGGCAATGCCTACCCGCCGTAAGTTTGTCGAGCGCATCAAGTATGCCTTCCACTAACAGGAGATAGACCACAGCTTTACCCTCCCAGCTCCTATGCCGTCAGTGACTATCATCCATTACCGACTATGTATCCACCAAACAACACAGCACCTGCTACATACGCAACCTATGACTCGCCATCGAGCGCTCCAGTTTCTAATGCGTCAGTCCCTGCACTCTCTTCGTCGCCAAGCACGCAAGGCAACCCAGTAATGCCGCGAGTCATCAACTCACGGCCGAAACCTCAATGCTGGGAGCATGGATGCAATGGACGACAGTTTTCTACATTCAGTAATCTGCTGCGGCACCAGCGAGAAAAGTCCGGAACTGCCTCCAAAAGCACCTGCCCCCGATGCGGGGCTGAGTTTACCCGCACTACTGCAAGAAACGGACACATGGCGCATGACAAATGCAAGCCACGCAGGCCATCAGAAACAAAGGGATAGATGGGGATATTTGTCTCAACGTTCGATTTATCTAGACATTTCCAGCTTGCTGCAAGCGGCCGTGAGGCGCAAATATAGCCAGCGCAATCCCGACATTATCAGTGTCTCGAAGCGGAGATGTGTGTCAGTACGCTAACGCGCAAGGGAAGCTCCCGACGTTCTGTGAATAAGCCAGCTGGCCGAGTGAGAGGCACTCAGGAAGACAAGGCATTGGGCCTTGTACACCGCAATTCCAGCCTTGCGCGTGCGGTTTTTCTCATTGTGCATCCTCGGGTTGTGGGAGGGATTTCTTGATCTAACAGGAGCATCACCAGGCGTTATATATCAAGCGTTCAGCGACCAGCAATGCATATGGGTTTATGTTTCTTGTAACCCACAGTTTATCATCATGTTTTTTTTCTTGGTTTTCATGATATCATCTACGTGGAATTTGGAAGGGACACGATTGGAGACAAGCGGACAAGGACATGTCGAGTCTAGAATGTTTACATTGCCTCGCACAATGGCTCGCACAAGCACCAAGTTGGGTCAAATTTCTGGCATCGCGTGGCGGGGAAGACGGCCCTCGGGGAAGCAGAGTGGTGGCCGCATGTCCACTGAAAGATCGCAGCGGGAGGATTTTTTGCAGGAACCAGCAAAGCAGGAACACGGAACACTTGCTGCTTGGGGATTCTTCCCCTGCCCCCCCCCTTAGATCAACCCGGCTATTTGGTTCGTGAGAGAACACATCTACGCTGCTGACACGGTCTACCATCTCAGCCCAGGGCCCGCAAGGGAGCTTGTGCGAAAAAAAAAACGCAGCGTCGACGCTAAACCGACATAGCAAAAATTTAGGCAATGCCGAGGCAGAGAGTTATTCAGCGACTGAAATACCGTCGAATAGACTCGAAAGGCGCGAAATCGCTTGGACGTATTTTCAAGGGCATGCGCACCAACAATTCCAGACTCGTTTTCACACTGCATTACATTAGCCAAGGCCAGGCGGGCGAGGCTGTCGACCAAAAGGCCGCACGGCCCTTCTGTCAGATTCGAGTAACGATCAGACGAGCGGGCCGTTGTCGCCACGTCTTGAGGGCGGGAGAGGCCTCGTACAGGAGCAGCGCATCCATCGCCCAGGCGAGCGGCCAGCCGTGAAGCGATGACGGCGAGGGTTCCAATCAAGCGCAGCACGTTTTTCTTCTGGCTGTATCCGGAGCCTCCCATAGTCAGCAACCATGACACGCGCGACTACCGTGCGTCGGTGAACCATGCCGTTGGGACGTGAGCATCTCTGCAGTGCCGCCATCCGTTGGTTGCACATACGTACTGTATGCAATATTCCCTGGGCTGTTCGTCGCCCTGTTTGTCACCGGGCAGCGGGGCAATAGTTGGAATTAACTGCCTTGAACGTCGTCCTTGTCTCGGAAGCCGTTAGCCGCGTTGCGTGTGTGTGTGGCTATCGGGGGATACGGGCTGGCAGTTGCAACACCAAATCTACCGCAGCATGGTGTACATAGATGCATGCATAGGTGGATAGCACCGGTGACGCGGGCATTTCCGGCCTGACACACAGCTTGAGTGGTGCAAAGTTCAGCGTCGCTCGACGCCAGCTGCGTCGAGAAGGTGATTGAAGCTTCAGCATGCATGCTGCCAAGACCGTCACTGCAGCTGAAGACAGCGCCTCGCGGTTGAAACTCGAATAGGAATCTGCGAACAGATATGGTCGCTGTAGCGGCCCTCATTGGCCATCAGGCGAGGTTACGAGGGCGGACCGTGGCACTACATCCAGGAGCAGACGGCAGCTATCTCGACTGGCGCAAGACTTTCATCTCTCATACGCAGCAAACCGGACGGCTACCCTGCAGATTCTCAGGGCCTCCATCGGAACCAGAGTCTCGGAATCCACCCTTGGTTATGCGCGCTTGAGTGCTGCGCGCAATAGTAGCTTCCGATTGTTAACTACTCGGGATCTCGGTCCAGGTGGTTCGGGCTTGATATTGAACAGACGCGCCGAGGGAGAGGGGCCTTGGCTGTTTCCCACCCACTCTAGCCCCACCGCGACATGCTGACCCGAGTCTTCTGCTGACGTGTGGACTTTAAGGCGAGAAGCGTTGCAAGGGTCAAGCCGGCGGGGGTGCGGCTGCGCGGGAAGGATGACAGTCACTTGATCCCTCGACCTAAGTGCCCGCAGGGATACGACAGAGAAAGAGAAAGAGAGAGAGAGACAGACGTGGCGCAAAGAGAGTCAGTTTACCGACAACCGACATGTATCATCAGACGAAGAAAGAGTTCCTACACTCGGACATGAGACCTCTGGCGGGTTGAACAAGCGCGGTAGAATCGCCGGACATTATCCGGTAGCCGGCTATGACGTTAGAATACAGCATGTGATTGACAAGATTCATAGAAGGGGGCCCTGGTGATATTGCGACCAAGCTCCATCGTTGTGCGGAGACCGAGAGTGCCGCGACCCAGGTATCTGACTGCCCACTTTTTTTTCCATTCTTGCCCACACCCAGCGAATGGCGCAAAACAATTGTCCGTGGGATGTTTTTTTCCTCGTTGCCGGATGATTCGCCGTGTCAGGGTGCAATCGCCGACGGCACAGTTGCAGCCCTTGTCGACTGGGCCCTTTTCAAAATGTCTGAGTCGTATGGTCTACTAAGAGTGGTATGGTCGGTTGCCTGAAAGAGGCCCCACATTACGATGGCCTTGATTGTTCGACCTGATACGAAAGAAAGTGCACATGGCGCGGCCAAGAAGTGATGGACATTCGCTACGTCTGTATCATACGATCTCGACCGAGCGGCGACATCACAGTAAGTAAATACGTGCATGCATGCATTAAGTATATGCTAGGGGGGAGTCGGGACAGGTGGGGGCCAGCCTCATCTCGTGTTAAGCGCTTTGACAAGGTGATCCAGACGCGCAAAGGACGCCGGGAACCTCTCCAGAACCGAACTGGATGTGCACCTCTGGGACTCCGCACCGCAGGTGATATACACTAGGGTAGAAAAGCCTGTGAAGCTTATTATAGGCGACCCGTTCCCTGGCGGAGACTTGACACGGTCACTGCAGCCAGACCATGACAGCGGTTGAATCGCCAACAACTGACTTGCATGCTCGCTCGCGTGGTAACCCATCGTGCGAGGAAGCAATGGCCCGAGTATACAACCCATGTGGTGACCTCGTGGGCGCCGCACGAGGCTTACCTGCATGTTCCCTAGTTACACTAAGACCCCAGAACCATGGATTTAGCCCGCAAATACTTACTCGGTTGTTAGCTATACCGCTTCAGACAGACTGTCGTACTACCTTCGAGAAAGCCGGCTAATATCAGTTGCCGTTCACTGCCTCTAAACGGTCAGGGCGCTTGCAAGGAAGCGGCCTTCGCGTGGAGAGGGTTGACTATGAGACACAACGGCAGCAAGTAGTCGATGGTTGCAAGAGACTGCCTATTACTGCAGTGCGACCTAGGAGACCCGCAATTATAGACGTAATGGGGTACGATACGGCCGAAAGCGGTATGCTAGTCGCTGCCTCTTTGGCCGCTACTGCTGCCGACCGCAACTTGAATGTGGTTGCGTCGGCATCGGCATCTTCGATCTGTATGTGCTGTGCTATGCAGTCATCATGTCTAAGTTGTGTGCTCATCGCTGGCAGCTTCAGAAAATACTACTAACAGTGGCGCATATGAGTACGAAGAAAAATCTCAGTGAAACAGAGCAGATTTGACTAAGTCGCAACACCTGCTCCATGCAGAAAAGAGACAACATCACAGCCAATCAGAGTGTGCCTACCAAGTCTTTTGGTCTCTGTTCACTAAACAAGTACTGCGCCAACCCCTGGGATCGTATACTAGAACTGGTGTTTCTTCGGCACCTGTAGTGGATGCTGGTGCTGATGCTGATGCATGTTAATGCCTCCGAAGTTCAAAAGTAGACATGAGTGGCCAATGCGTGGCCATACTTCAGCTTCGGCCTGTTTTGTCCCCTGGGGTATTACGGGGTGCCCACAACGACGGTCTGGAGCGTTGTTGACTTGCCGGTTTTCCGGTCAAGAACCCACTGTGACGGGTATAGAAGTCAGGCAAGATCTGGGCCCTCGAGTGCATAACATCATCTACTGCGCCGCAGTGCTACGCAACTCCAGCGTGATCAAGGGAGGAGTCACCAGCTGACTCGACAGTCCTGTGCAATCAGACCTGATGTTCCTGCAGTGTTTGTAGATGGCGCTTGGGGTACAAGAAGGTAGAAAGGCGCTTCAATCTGACGACAACGGGTGATGTGGATGCTTTAGCAGCCCTTTTACTTTGGGGGATGATGGCAATGGCATACTCATGGAACAAGCTCACAATAAGTGAACCACAGAATTCATATAGGTTTGAGCACTCAGATGCGAAGTCAAAGGGCGATAGAAGGGCGTTGCATCTTGCCACTATTCACACGGGAGCCTAGCAACGATGGATGATGGCTTGCCCCACTGAACGGTGACTCCCCGCAGCCCCGAGCTCGGACCAATGGCTAACATCACGACAAGTTGATACTTGTAACCTTTGAGGACCATCTCATACCACCATATCGCTTGCTGCCACCTGCTTCGCTATCTTACTGAATCGAATATACCAATGTCTTCCTTCAGTCTGTGATCGCCTCGTTGGCATCTTCACGCAGCTCCCCAGCGAGCTGTCTCTAGCTATCGTTTGACGAAGTCTCACCCATTACTTGTGCTCTACACCCGTCAAAATGCTTCCTCTTTTATCGCAATTATTCCGGACCCACTCCTTACACACTAATTCGCGATCGTTACCACGTTTATACACCGTCTCTGCTAAAAGAACACCTTAACGCACCATCTGACGAGTTTGGAACATTTCAAATCATCCCAACTAATACATAGAAAGTTGGACATTTCCAGCTACATCCAACTACAATCCCGACAAAATGGCTTCTATATTCACTTTCGACCCCGACCCGCCTCGCGTTTCGTCGCCATGGGCGGCAACTTCAGTTGGCGACCTGACGGAACCGTCGAATACCTACCAAAAGACCAAGTCTCCTCTTTCGAGAATCAGCGGCGATGGCGAGCAGCAGGGACCACACGGAGATCTTCTAGCGAATGCGGTAGACTATACAAATATTACTAGGTTGGAGGCAGAGCCTCAGGATGGTCCAACAGAATATAAGCTGCATCTACTTCTGAGGCAGCGACGGTCGTTCACTCGAGTAACCACTGGTCGGCATATGTCTGGGTCTACTCGTCGAAGTGATATTCCTATACCAGGATCTGTGGGTCGTAGTATATTAGAGTCGGGCCTCGTTCAAAATACTCCCCCACCGTTGGCCTCTACACAGTCAAAGCAGCATCGTCTTGAGCAGTTGACGACGCAGCTGTTATGGCGGTTGCAACAGTCATGCCCTTATCACATATCCTCATCGACAGCTCCTGTACTTCCCCATTTCCCAGACGATGCGCGCCTCTCAGCCCCTGAAATGCCACAACGGCTTCTCCCTGGGCTTGAAGAGAGTAAGGGTGCGCTCTACGAGATTGGTATCGCTGATGATGGAAGCATTGTTGGCTTGGCAGAGGATGAGATGGAAGAAAGTCTGAACAATTTGCGCGCCATGGCTGCGAGTTTGGGCTGTGGGGTAGAAGTCTTGCGTAGGGTCCCAGTCGGCGAGTGTGAATGGGTTGAAGATGCAGGCACTACACAGCAGAGAGTACAAAGATCACAACTATTAGTCGCCGAGGCTCTAGTGCGCCCGGAACAGCATCTGGTGGACCACACAAAGAAGGATCGTAATGGCGCTTATGAGGATACGCCAAATGCAGCAGACAGCAACGCAGCTCTAGCCAAGGCACCACAGGCTACCAGTGAGCAGATGCGGGTATCAGTCACTGGAGCCACTATGTCCGGGAAATCCACTCTTCTCGGAACGCTTTCTACCGCCACTTTAGACAACGGCCGTGGGAAAAGTCGCCTTAGTTTGCTCAAACATAGACATGAGATTGCATCGGGTATGACCAGCTCCGTCACCCAAGAGCTGATAGGATACCGTGACACGGATGATCACACGCAAGTCATTAGTTACGGGTCTGGGGATGTATCGTCCTGGATAGATATTCATGCCGCAGTCGAGTCTGTAGAAAACGGCAGACTTGTGTTTCTCTCGGATTCTGCCGGCCACCCCCGGTTCAGGCGTACCACTGTTCGTGGAATCGTTGGCTGGTTAGTTTGCTCTATTTTCATATTTTGAGTAGCGCTGACATGGTACAGGCAACCCCATTGGACACTTTTATGCGTCCCTGCGGATAATACAGAAGACTCTTCTGGCAAGCTTGGAGCATCGCCCACGTCAGAAGAATTACTTGGACCAGCTGCGGCAGATCTTGACCTTTCTCATGCACACTTGGAACTATGTCTTGCTCTGGAGCTACCACTTGTGATCGTCATCACCAAGTATGACCTTGCCACCAAGAACGGACTAAAAAGTACTTTAGTCAAACTCTTTGCAGCCTTGAGAGAGCACAACAGGAAGCCCTGTCTTATCACTGACTCTTCGACGACAGTACTAGAAGCCGATTTGCATACAGTCGAAGCAGCCGATCTTGAGGAAACAAAAAAGACACTTTGCCTGCTGGAGGACTCCCCTCTTGCAGCAGTACCTGTAGTACTCACCAGTGCAGTCAAAGGAACAGGCATGCAGAAACTGCATGCGTTCCTGCGCAAGCTTCCTATGCCCAAACAGCCAGAACAGCCACCACCTGAGTCCCCATCACCGCTTTTCTACATCGAGGATGTCTACAGCGTGGGTATGAGCGCCCCAGATGAGCAATGCGCCATCATCGGCGGTTACATCCGCTACGGCTCATTATCAATTGGAGACGAATTACTGCTGGGTCCATACCCCGCCGAAGTCAGTTCCGACGACAGTGACAGCGGCAGCGCGCAACCAAGTCGTAAGCTCCCGATAGCGCAATCTCGATCCTTCCCAGGCGCCCTCACCACCAAGTCCAAAAACACCTCTCTGCGTGAGAGCCATAGCGAGTGGCGCCGCGTTCGCATCACATCGCTCCGCAATCTTCGATTGCCGGTGCGAACGCTACTCGCGGGTCAAGTAGGCACCATGGGCATCATGCCCGCGGATTCGCCCATGGTCACCACGTCCATCAATCGTATCAGGAAAGGCATGGTACTTGTAGTCCGCGAACCAAAAGCGCACAAAGTCATTCGTGTGCGATTTGAAGATAAACAGGCACAAGGCGTTAGGGACCTCGGTGTCGGAAGTGCCGTTATCGTGTATATCGCTAGTGTCAGGGCGTCGTCCAAAGTCGTTTCTGTGGCTGCTGAGCCGCCCGCTCCTCAGACTAGCAGTGTAGATCGAAACGCTGCTGCTGCTGCTGATGATGACGAAGATGGGTTTGGGTTTGGGTTTGATAGTGAGACGGAGGACCAGGTGGATGCTGCGGGGGCTGAACCGCCGAATGTCGTTGTTACGTTCCAGTTTATTGCTTCGCGGGAGTTTGTAGAGGTGGGTGCTAGAGTGCTTGTTATGCCGGGTGGGATTTCGGGTGGGAATGAGAGGGGTGCGAAGGGTATGGCTGGGCTGGAAGGGTTTGTTGGGAGGGTCATTGAGGATGTGTAGCGTTGAGGCGTTTACAGGGTTTCTGAGTTGCGTTAATTGCTAGAATTGTGTCTTTTTGTTCGGTCTAATGAATTGAGATTTTATTTATGGGTGTTATCTATTTCGAAGAAATGATATAGCCTCTACGCTTGCAAGGTTCGTAGCCAAAACACATAACTAGTCAGCTTGAGAAAGTTCATATATTGTTATTCACGACATCACGAGTTCAACATACAAAGACAAAAAATATGTCGCACTCTACTTCTCCCCCCCAAATCACCCATCTTCCCCTTCCATCTCCCCCACACCCTCATCACACCCACCGTACCCGTCCTCACCCGACATTGCACGTCCCCTTACAAGGTCGCACAACCGGCTAGAGTACAAAAAAAGTGGAGGAGACTCGGTGCAAGCAAGACAAAAAGGATGAAAAAACAAAGAAAAGGTGGTTGTGATTGGAGGGATTGTGTGTTGGAGTGCACGCCTCCCACCAGCTATCCAGACGAAACAAGGCTTTACCACACCATCCTACGAGAGGAAGAGAGGACGAGCGACACATCGTCGGCGACTGGTGTGGGGAGACTTTGGTTGATATCTCGCAAGGGCTATACTGAGCAGCAGGAATGGGTCTGGTCACTGAGCTCCACCTTAGGCCGCGAGGTTCTTTTTTTGTTTGAAGATTTCGGGTGAGAAGGTAAGAGGAGAGAGGAGGGACGGAGAAAGGAGGTGAGGAATAGAGAGATGCTTACGGTAGGAGGATAAAGGGGCCGATAGAGATAAGAAAATTGGATTATTTTTTGGGGATATCACAAACAAGGCTTCAAGTATCCTATGGTTCAACAAGTGGTGAGCTTCATGTCGCGTGCTGTCTTGGGGTATTCATGTACTGCGGTTAAGCTGCAGAGGATGCAAAAAGGACCTTGCGAGGTCCACCTGCAGTCAAGTTCTTTGACACAGCGCCATTGGTGACGCTGCTTTCCATGCTTTCGAGCATTCTGTCCATACCACCAAGGTCTAGCTCACCGTGAGTGAGTAGGGCCTGGTCGGTTCTGGTGGTCGTTTCCTCCTCGAGTTGTTCGCGTGCAAACACAGCGTTCATGTCTCGTCCGAGAGGTTGGCTAGTGCTTGCAGCGATGACTAGGCGATGTTCCAATGGTATCAGAGTATCTCTTGCAACGGCCATGCGTGAGGCCTGTGCTGTAGTGTCAAACTGGGAGACAGATGTGATGGCTTCTCCGCAGAGTGACACGTCTTGTATTTGGAGACCGGGGCCGGGCAATGAGCTGCCATTGCTAGCAGAGACAGTGCGAGCCCAGAACTTGGCAAGGTCTGCTATCCTGTAAATCTCTGAGCCATACCAGATGATGACCGAATCTTCTGAGGTGCCATTGGCTGATGGCAAGGTGGCGACGGAGATGCCACCACGCGTTACAACAGCCGAGCTCGTCGAGGTTCCTTGGAATAACGCTTCTTCCTTTCTGCGGCGTGTATTGGGCGTCATGGGGGCTAATGAGTTGCGACTGGCGCGTTTCGGGCTGGAGGGGCCACTGCTACTTGCGTCTTTTTCTGATGTTCCAACATAACCTCGTAGAGAGAAGACCGAGGGATCTGCTGGTGGATTTGGGCCAGAACGATCAACATCCCAAACTCCCCATTCACCGTCTGCCAACAGGGCAATGATATGACGGCCATCCGAGGCCCAGGCGGCATCGACGATGGCTTTACGCGAAGCGAGGACCGGAGGCGTAAGTGTAACATTCTTTACAGGCTCGAATGCTGTCCTCAATGTAATTATAAAGGCACCTGGCTCAGAGGAAGCGCCACCCATTCGTTGCTTGCGATTGGGTGCAGCAAATGGGTCGTATATCCGTGCGGTTCCTGTGGAATCGGTGATGAGCAATTGGGAGTGCCGACGCTTCGGATATTGGGCGGTATTGAAAGCGACTCGGGAGGCGGGTTTGCGCAAGGTGAGCGTTTTACATGGTACGACAGGGTGCGCGACTTTGATCACCGTCTCAGATAGCTCAAAGCGAAAGATCCTCAGCAGACCTCCTAGCTCGGCAGAGTGTGAGGCTACGAGTAGGTCGAAGCCTTCCTCGCCACGCGGTTGGGAGCGCGGGCGCGACTGTTGCTTGCGACGTCTGCCACTAGGTGTCGCACCGGTCTCTCCCTCGCCATCAATGTCCATGTCGTCTTCTGCATCTTCTGATACACCAGGCTCATCTCTGGCAGTCCAAGTCATGGTGACACCCCTCGGAATGCTCTGGTGGCCTTGAATCTTGATAATTTCCTCGCCAAACTGCGACGTTGAACTGAACGGACTGGCCTTGGCCGCATTCGGAGGGGGACTCAATGGCAGCGTGATTAAGCGCACGGTAGAGTCGGCGCATGCGACGGTAAAGACAATGCTCTTGCTGAGGATGGGTGGTGTGGTGTCTCCTGGGCGCAGAGCAGACGCATGGGGGATCTGAGGCACGGCGATGTGACGGACTTGGGTGCTGAGGGACAGCGAGATGTGCTGAACGATTGAGGGATATGGATGGTCTGGGTCGAGCTCTTCGTCGTCCACCTCGAACTCAGCCTTGGGTGGGGGTTGAGGGGTGGCTTTTGCAGGCGCGTCGTCGTCCGAGTCGATGATCATGATGGCATCGCCGCTGGTGCCGTTGACCTTGGGCGGCTTGGCTGGCTGTTGGGGTTGAGGCGCTGACTGCTTGAGCCGCTTGCCGCCTCTCCAGAGAATACCGACGCCAGTCTCGTGGCCATAGAGAACAATCGTGGAGCCATTGGGAGCTCTCACAGGGTAGACGGCCGAGGTGAGGACGCGATGCCGAAGCTCATACCTAGACAGCGGTGTGGTCAGTGGCAGTACCGGGGGGCAAAAGGCAACATGAAATCACCTCAGCTGTGTCAGTTTGCCCTTGGTGGCGACGATGGGCTCCATGGCGACGGGGAGGGTGTGTATGGGAGGGAGCGAGTGAAGGAAGGTCGGAGGTGATGCGGAGGTTGAACATTTCGGGCAAGACGCGCTGGAGGCACGGCCATAGCGCGTCACCAACAAAGAGACATATCACCACCACCAGGCCCCGGCAACGAACCACCCCGCCCCCGCACCAGGCCCAGGTGTCGCCCATATGGCAAGACGAGTGTCGCCATGGCCTCTCTCTGCTCCATCGGCGTCCACAAGCCATCCGCCTGGCCGTATCTGGTGCAAGAGGGCATCTTGACCGAAGACAGCACCCAAGCCGACTATGCCTGGCACACATACACCGACGACGACCTGCCCGACGAGCTTGTTACCACCAAACACCATGTCGTCTGGTCACGCGGCGGCCTTGTTCGCAAGGCATTCAACTTTGAAGTCGAAAAAGAGCCATTGAAGCACGCACTTCTGACTTGGTTTGTCGTCGATGAGCCCGCACATGGACTTGCAGACAGGGCACAGAGCACGCAAGCTCAGAATGCCGCCCATCATTCCCAGAGCTTCCTCACCCAGGGCACCCAGCCGGCTACGGATCCAACAGCCCCAGTCAACAACTCACCCGCCACAGTCGAGGTCCGCTCCCGCGCCCTTATTGTTTTCCTCAGGTCCCAGGCCCACGTCTTCTTCCTGTCTGGCACTACCCATGTCGTCAACCTCCCCTTTGAGGTAGACAAGGCCTTTCCTGCTGCTCGAGGTGTCCTGGTACAGAGGAAGCTGGCACCACTGCACCCCCCACCCCCCAGTCCACCGCTCCCTGCGGCCCCAGTAAATTCCTTCCTCACAACCAACCAGTCTTTTCTCTCCCAGCACCTCTCCTTCACCCAGACCCTATCACAGCCAAATAATCGCAATGTCTCTTCTATTGGAACATCACGCCGTGGCACGTCTCGCCTCTCAGGCGCGACCATGTACCTTGACGACTTGATCAACCCTTCTGCGCCTGTGAACTCAGAGGCGATACCCAGGTTGTATTCGTTCACAGATCCGCTGTCAGAGCTGGGATTGGTGGTAACTGTCGTGTCGGGAGGTCTCCGTAGCAGCCTGTTGACCACCAATGGTTCTGGTACTCGAAGACTGGAAGCCATTGATAACGCTGAGGACATCATATACGTATCGCCACAGAATGAGCTTCTCTTTGATCGCAGCGGTAATGACAAACCCCTTTTGCTAGTAGTAACTGCAAACCATGAGACGAATGTATTGACCATTTGGTCTGCGGCCTACCTTGAGCCAAAATCTATATCCACTTCTCGCAAACAACACGTTCCTCTGCCAATCACCAAGTCGCGAAGACGTAGCTCTCACGGTACCACTGTACCTGGCACGGGAGCAACAACTCCCTCAATTCGTGGCGCTGACAGGTTAAGAGAAAGCTTTGGGGGAGCCCCACGAAGCAAGGCTCAACCACCTTCATTCAAGATCACAGCCAAAGAACGTCTGTCTGATCAGGCTGTAGATGATGCTCTTGCTTCACAGCTCAATCCCGATTCTGACATTACGCGCCAACCCAAAGAGTCGAGGCGAGTGAGTTCGTTATTGTCCCGCGCCGAGATTTCGACTAGCTTCGATAGGAGTGCTTTTCAGGACAAGGCAACATCCCGAAATAGCCTGGGCGGTAGCTTCTCCGCAAGCTTCAATGCAAGCCAGCGAAGTCGACATTCACTGGGCCACGATCGCACCAGCTTTGGTGGCCTCTCACAGTCACGCAACAGAGCCTCTACTCCTGGGAGCGTTACATCGCGAATGAGCTTAGGTGCTGTCTCAATTGATGAAACTTTTGACGATGCTATGGAAGAGGATACTTTTGACACCATCGAGGACTACGACGAACTTGACGATTTGTTTGCGCCGCCCGATGCTAAAGGTGGCCCTCGACCTGGTGATGGGCTTCACAAGGAGTTGGTCGTTAGTGCAATTGCCGAAATTCCAGTTACGCAATATCTCAGGACCGGGTTGTTTGCCCTCGGAAATCCGTCGGCTCCACAGGTATGTTGCAATATAACCGGCTTAAAAGAATCACATCATTGACATGCACACAGAGTGAAACACAGCCCGAGGTGCTTACACTTAATGCGCCCTTTAACTCAGCAACACTACATGAACGGAAGCTGTACATGTACATATCACACCCGTCGCTACAGCACCCCCTTGAGTGCGAGCTGGCAGTAACGCGGAAGCGGCTATCCCCTTCGGCATCAGCAACACAATCGGGCTCCAACAGCGCTGCTCCCCGGTACGCCTGCGTTCCTAGGTTTGTTAGTAGCCGGGAACTTGAGGGTGCATTGGACCTAATCAAGCTACGTGACGGCCATGTTGAGCGTGTCGTCCAGCTCATTTCAAACGATCCCCAAGAAGCTTGCTTATCGTTAACTGCAGGATGGGGTACGCATCTACCAATGAAGTTCAGTCTAGGCCCCTTAAAGTTGCATGATCCCTACGCCATATTACATCTCGGGCAGAGTAGGGCAGCTGCAGGGTCCAAGCGAACTATAACCGCCAGTCAACCTTTACAACAGCTGTTATCTGCTGGTGCAAGTGGGAGGCTTGATGTTGTCGACAGTCAATACTTCAGGCACCGGATGTTTCTGCGCCTGTCGCCTTCAGATGGACATGTGGCAGAGCTTTTCAAAGTGCTGTTAACGGTCCTCCCCAACTACACTGGTGACTTCATCCTGGAGATATGGTGGCACATTCGCAAGTCACTTTCGGAAGAAGGGTCCGAAAAAACAACAGCAGACTGGTCGGCCTTTGTAGCAACTTTGTTCACTCTTGTTGTTCCCTTCATCGAAGAGAAAAAAAGCAAAATCAAGACCCGTTCAAAGTCTATCCAACGCAGAAGCTTGGGTCGCCCTTCAAGCCAAGCCAAGCCAGATGAGCTGATAGACGATGCAGACTCGGCATGGCGTCTCATGTGCAGTCGTCAGACTTCAAGAGCCCATGTGAGAAGTTGGGAATCATCACCTTGGACTTGGGCTTTGCGTCTGAGCCCCATGTCAACTACCACCATGAGCCCATTGTCGAAAAATCAGTTATCACAAGAGCATTTACCCTCAATCGCACAGCAGGTCAAGGTCAAAGATGACACAATCCCCTCTTGTCTTGAGATTGCACGGCGATATTTGCAATCACCAATCGGCAAAGCGACAAGCGACCACTGGAGACGGATGTCTCCTTCCGAGAAACAAGACCTCCGCATTTCATCCCTTTCTGAAATCGTCGTTTCTCTACATCTCTTCCGAGAAGAGCGCAAACTGGATAAGTTGTGTCAAGACTTTACTGGTGTTCAGCCTGGCAACCTTGCACCCATATTAGCACAGATTAGCTATTGGTTGCGATGGGATGCTTGGGACTGGAGACAAGGAAGCTTCTTCGACCTCGATGGAGGCTCAAGCCATGATTGGACTTACGAAGAGTCCATGCTCTCGAGCAAAGTTCGCCTACACGGCCAGCCATGGGATACGCCGCCATCCATCTTGGGTTGGCTCACCACTGTTACAGGATCTCAACACTACGCTCCGTTTCCCACATTGGCGACGCTTATTCGAAAGTCTAAAGCCTCGCCACACTCTTCCATCAATATCGATGAGATCATAGCAGGCGTCACACCCCGAACAGTGGCACTGCATAATTTCTTCCGCGATATTGACCCTGCTTCGAGCCCTAGACGAGTAGTTGAGCTGATTCAGAGGTGTGACATCAACTCCGATATGCTAGCTACGTTGCCAGAGGCTGCCAAGGCACCGCTGATGGAAGCAATCACAAGATGCCAGGCGAACCCACCTACAACATGGTCAAGCTCACTTTTGAAGCTTGTGCAGCGCGAAGACCTCGATATCCGTCATACCTCAACTAGAGATTTCTTTAATGACAGCCATCTTAATACGTCTGGTGGCGCTCTTCATGCAGCTGGCATCACGCGCGATGTCCATACCATATGCCAGGCCGCTGATCGTGTGGAGCCTATGCAGTCGACAGCCGAAGTTGATCGCCACTATATTACACGACTGATTTTTCGCGAGGATAGGCGGTTTATGGAAGCTTACACGCTATTGGAGCCGTTGCGACAGACTGTTGCCGAATACAAAGCCGACAACAGGCAAGACGACGCTGCAATGCTTGAGGGGCAGAAGGCGCTCATGCAATGGGTTATGATTCGCACCTTCTCCCTGCCTGTGGGCAGCTCCATGATCAAGTTTAGTAGCAAGAAGCCTCTACTGACAGAGAAGTACCCTCTCTATGGTTTCTCCACCTCCTGTCTCATGAAGCCTATGGGTAACGTTGTAACAGCTGAACGGCAAAATTATTCCGAAGAAAAATACTTTTGGGCTTTCTTCAACGCCGGTGCCGCAGCTGGACTCGGTATCTCGCGAGATGCCCAAGGCATTGATACTTCGTGGATCATGTACAACAAGCCTGCTGAATTGACTAACAAACATGCTGGACTCTTGCTCGGTTTAGGCTTGAATGGACATTTGAGGACAATTGCCAAATGGTTGTCGTTCAAGTATCTTACCCCCAAACACACCATGACATCGGTTGGGCTACTGCTAGGATTGGCTGCTTCATTCATGGGCACAATGGACACACTCGTCACACGACTGCTGTCTGTACACGTCACTAGAATGTTGCCAGCGGGAGCAGCAGAACTGAACCTATCCCCGTATACGCAGACCACAGGGCTGATGGGTATCGGCTTACTTTATTACAACACTCAGCACCGTCGCATGAGCGAGGTGATGCTCTCGGAGATTGAGCATGTGGAGGTACCAGATCCCTCCGAACCACCAGACTCTCTGCGTGATGAAGCCTATAGGCTGTCTGCCGGTTTTGCGCTCGGCTTCATCAACTTGGGCAAGGGAAAGGATCTCCGAGGTCTTCACGATATGCGCATTGTTGAACGCCTCATGACTGTCGCTGTCTCACCCAAGCCAGTAAATGTCGTACATATCCTCGACCAAGCGACCGCCGGAGCAGTCATCGCAGTGGCCCTGATTTTCATGAAAACCCACGACCAAAGCGTAGCCCGCAAAATCGACATTCCAGATACACTGCCGCAATTTGACTATGTCCGCCCCGATGTTTTCCTGCTACGCACCTTGGCGAAACACCTCATCATGTGGGATAACATCGAAGCATCAGATTCGTGGATCATCAGAAACCTTCCCTTTGAGTACCGCGAGGCCTTTGATCTTAAGGGAATCACACGCCTACGAAGCGAACAGATGCCGTTTTACAACATCCTTGCCGGTCTATTGTGGAGTGTCAGTCTCAAACACGCTGGTACTGGAGACACTCAAGTACGCGATTTCCTGATCAAGTATCTGGATCAGTTTATTCGAATCAACAAGCTGCCAGCTGTGCGATATGATTCTAAATTATCTAAGAACACAGTACGGAACTGTCAGGATCTCATCGCCCTAGCAGCCGCCACCGTCATGGCCGGCACAGGTGACCTCGACGTCTTCCGTCGTCTTCGCGGTTTACACGGCCGAATCGGACCAGACATCCCCTACGGCTCCCACCTCGCAGCCCACATGGCCTTTGGCGCCCTCTTCATTGCCGGCGGCACGCAAACCTTCAGCCGCAGCAACAAAGCCATCGCCAGTCTCATCTGCGCCTTCTACCCCATCTTCCCCTCAGATGTCCAAGATTCAAAAGCCCACCTCCAAGCCTTCCGCCACTTCTGGGTCCTAGCCGCCGAACCCCGCTGCCTTGTCATCCGCGACGTAGACACCGGCCGCGCAATCTCCATGCCCATCACTATCCACTTCAAATCCCGTCTCCCCGACGGCTCGAAGACGAAGAACCTCGTTGCCCCGTGTCTCTTACCCGAGCTGCCCCTGATAAGTAAGCTGGAAACGGCAGATCAGAGCTACTGGCCCACGACCCTCGATTTCTTGAATAATGCAACACATCTCGCAGCTTTTGAACGCAATCAAACGCTCCATGTGCGGAGGCGCTCCGCGCATGATACGTATGCTACAGCGTTCAGTTCTACGCTTGTAGCGCTCAATGATGCGCAGTCTTCGCGGACATCACAGCTTCTGTTCCACTGGCTTTTTACACTTCCGTCTTTATCGAACTTCGTCAGTGCCTCTGATGCAGGTCTGATCCTGCCGCTGGATCAGCATTCCAAATCTTGGTTGGACCCTGGAGCTACGGTTGTAGAGTCAAGACTTGTGCTTGCGAGACTTGCGGGGAGCGAGAAGGTGGAGGAGTTGAGGGTTTTGAGGGGTGTGTTTGAGTGGGCGCTTACGGCTTGTAGGAAGGATGGCAAATTGAGGTGGCTTGGGAGAGAGGTTGTGGAGAGGATTAAGGCGGGGGTTATGGATCGGGCGAGGCAGATGGGTGGCGGGTGATGGAGACTGTGGATGCATATAGGACTTAGGATCGGAAACAAAGGAGATGTACATCTGCAATGTCGCTTTTGATACGTGACGAAACTGGGAGATCAAAATGAAAGTGGATTTATATCTTTGTGACAGGTCATATACTCTCGCTATCCAGATGGATTTCCCATGCTGCACTGAAATCACAACGCTCTATCCGCAAGGCCTTTAGAAAGAAAAACATAAGAAAATCTTGTCCCATCTACAACGCCAATGGCGCGATCCATTCACACTTTGGCGGCGTAAGCGGAATATCCTCGTCATCGTTGAACCGACCAAGCTGGGCAACACGCTTGTAAATTTCTTCAAGCATCTTTCCTTGCTCACCCTCGTACTCCTCGGGCTTACCTTCCTTGTATCGGTCCTTGGCATCAATGGGTTTGCCATCGGGCGTCACGCCAGGTACATGTGGACGCCCTGCTGAAGCGGGCTGCGCAGCCGGGGTCTGCTGTTGTGCTGGCTGGCTGGGCGTCATATTAGCAGTAGGCTGGGTTGCAAAGGGTGAAGGTGTGCTAGTTGGGGCTGTAGATATCTGTGTGGTGGAGAAGGGGTTGGCTGGCTGTGATTGTGTTGCAGCAGGTTGTGTGGGTTGAGTGCCAAAAGGTGAGGGCTTGCTTGGCTGGCCGAACGCTGGGGTTTGGGATGCAGCGGCACTGGCAAACGGACTGGGCTGTGCGGGCGTTTGCTGGGTTTGTCCAAACGGACTTGGATTCTGTGATTGTTGGGCTTGTTGGCCGAACGGCGAAGACTGAGCTGTCTGCTGAGCTTGTTGACTGAATGGCGATGGTTGACTTGCTTGCTGCGCTTGCTGGCCGAAAGGTGAGGAACCTGACTGTGCTGCTTGTCCAAAAGGAGACGCGCCAGACTGTGCTGCCTGGCCAAATGGTGACGCGCCAGATTGTGCTGCTTGGGCAAAGGGAGAGGCATTAGCACCGGGTTGTGCAGGCTGACCAAACCCACTTTGCCCGAAGCCTGGTTTGCTGAAGGGATTTGGTTTCTGCCCCAAAGCGTTTGTCTGCCCGAATCCAGATGCTGCGCCTGGTGTTGATGGCTTTCCGAACGCAGAGCCTGCACCCAAACTACTGGCTTGCCCAAACGCGCTTCCTGCTCCAGGCATAGACGGCTGTCCAAATCCAGAGGCGCCAAAAGCGGGTTTCCCAAACGCACTGACACCGCTTCCCAAAGCTGAAGGCTGACCAAATGGTGACGGCTTTTGACCAAGTGCTGAGGCGGCACCGAAGGCTGAGGATGTTTGGCCTGGGTTGGATGCTTGACCAAACGGCGACGTAGTTTGGCCCGGGGTTGACGCCTGACCAAAAGCTGAGGTAGTTTGGCCGGGATTTGAAGGCTGACCAAAAGCGGATGTGGTTTGCGCTGGGTTTGATGGCTGGCCAAAAGCGGGCTTACCGAAGGCTGGTGTGGAAGTTTGTCCGAACGCCGATCCTTGAGACGAAGCTGCTGTCTGAAATGGGTTTCCTGGTGCTTTCATGAATGGATTTGAGGCTGCGGTGGAAGATGTGTTTGCAGTGTTGGTTGAGTCACTTGCATTAGCGTTGCCTTTAGCAATGTCAATCCGATTTGGATGAACGTTGGCGCCTTCTTCTATATATTGGATAGCACCAGGTATATTATCGAGGATTGCTTTCACTTGCTGTTGCATCTTTTCATTGAGAGCAGATTCTTCTTGTTGCTATAATTGGTTAGTTTCTAAAAATCGGTCTCAATTGCTGAGACTCACCGCTTGGGACTCATTGCCGGCTGTGCGTAGAGTATAATACCGCAGGCGAAGCTCTTCTGGGCTGATCTCGACTGGCCCCTCGATAAGCTGGCGAGGAGCCTCACGTCCTGGGCCATAGCAAGACAGCGGATAGATTGGCCGTTGAGTGGTGAGATCGTTCTTCATGTCGTCCCGATCCAGATGGAAGCTTGGCGATTTAGCATCACGATTACCTGTATTAGGTGAGTGTGGTTTCAACGAAGAATCGAAATCACTCAGAGTCGTAGATTAGGGTACTCTGGGCGATCGACAGGGTCTTTCATACCCCCAAATGTGTTGGAACTGCCATTTTGGCCAGGACGATAGCGATCCCCATTGAAGGCGCCAAAGCGGTTGTTGTTTGAACCACCAAAGGCACTTCCCCCACGACTCGCATCTCGCGAACTTCCGGGGTGTTCATTTTTGCAAGAATCTAGCTGATGTGAGTCTGGTGTATCAATGGGATGGCTGGTGGTCTACCTCCAAACTTGCATGCGCCTCGCTGATAGTAAGTGCAGATGGCCATGTTACCGAATAGGCAATTCAAGCCTTGGTGAAACTGATAGATAGGACTTCAAATGGGCTGTGGGGAATCAGTAGGGTCTAGAAAAGATGACGTGACGTTGGAAAGTATGGACAAAAGAAGAAAGCGGTGTCTGAGCGGCTGAACCCGACCGAGGCTGGGGTGAACGGAAACTTCAGAGCGAACGGACGCGACGCGCCAGCCAATCAACGCGAACAACGCAGCGTGCAATTCTTGGTGCGTTGTGGATAGGCGTCCAAAGGCGCCGCACAGATGTCACTATATGGACGGAATTTGGTTGTTGTTCTTGCCTGCTAAGCAGCCTTTCTGTTGTCTCTGTCCATTTGAAGTAATGCGTGCTTGATAGATGGGTAGTAACCAGCGGTAAGCAGCTGGTGTAAACAGTCGGAAGTATGTAGTGCGAGGTTTTGGTGCAGAAGATGGTACCTACCTTGTTTCAAAGGTGGCCCAGTCAGTCACACGTCAAGTTATCCAGACTTTCTCGAAGATTTATCGTGTCGGTGGATTTAGCTACGTGTGATGCTGATGCGATTGAGAGCAGAGCGCGACATGTGTACGCTAGTCCGCGTCCGGAGCTAGTGCATTGTCCCGAAGATGCGGGCCTTCCACGTACGCCACCATCGAGGTGTTATGGATTGCAGCCAGGATGCGTTTTGCGCAATGTACATGCAACTGCAACCTCTCGTTCCGCTGTCCCATTGCCAAATATACGAAGACAATTGCCCGACGCTCGCTCGCTAGCGTAGAGAACCCAACGCCGACCCAGCTTGTTCCGAGGCACCGCTTGGCATGACGGGGTAGATGCACGCCTTCTCCATTCTTACCATTGGCATCTTCGTCGCGGGATACTCGACTGCCCGGTGGGACCTTGTAACTCGTGTGTACGAGCTCGCCATATTCGCCTGGGACCACGGCGTCGTGACCAGAACTGCAAAGGGGTTCGCCTTGCTGTCCCTGTTGTTTTTCCTCTTCATACTGCCCGTGGTGCGCATCGCGGCCCAGGAGACGGATCTGGTCAGTAGGGCATGTACAAGTCTTCACATGGCCGGTTGACTAAATACTTGTAGCATCCCAGACTTGCAGGCACGGGAATCTCTGCGCGCGAGCAGCTCAAACGTCGCGGTTCTTTCTAGCGAGGTAGCAGGATGAGGACATGGTCACGCACAATGGCTTGATGCGCATATTTTGGCCATCAGACGTTCCAAATGACTCTGCGCCAGGGGTTCTGGTCGGATTCGAGAACTCCAAGACTGATGTCTTCGTGGTAGCCGTCATGCAGGATGTGGATTTACGCCAGGTTGAGAATGCGCTGCTTGTAGGGACATTGTTGCGACACAGCCCACACGACATCCAAGAACTGCTGCAACGATGTGGACATTCGGCGCTTCGCGCTGTTGGCTGCGTAAACCCAAAGAGTCCGCCAGATGCATATGGCGCCGAACCCCTCACAGTGTACACCAATCCTTCGACCCGCTTTCCACGCATCCACTACCCGACCGACACGCTCACGGCCATTCAAGTCATCGTATACGACCGACCGCACCCGACGCGCATGCAATATCTCTCGCTGAATCCTATCACACTTGCATTAGGAGACAAAACACGGGTGGCTGAGTGGGATGGAGTGTTTGCTGATCTCGAGGAGGCAGAGGCAAAGGAGCGGAAGAGGAAGGCACAGCTTGTCGAGCGGTTGAAGCTTCACACAGTCCTTGCGCATCCGCCCACGCAAAAGGAGCTGGCATTGCCAATGATCATCGAGCAGGTCAATTGTTCGTACGAGCTCAATGCTCTCTTACAAAAGAACATCGGCATGATTGGCAGGCGCATGAAGCGGGCACTGAGTGTCAGTGAGCGCGTGGCAGAGTCTGCCAACAACCTCTGGGACTATGCATGGATGATGCTTGACTACTTGTTCAGAGTCTGGATCTGGCCTATAGCTGCACAACTCTTCATATTCGGCATCATCGCGCACCGCATACTGGGAGAAGCTGTGATCATGGTCTTGCACTGGCGACCTGGGGCTTCCGACTCACCGGCCTTGAAGGACATATCTGCGACAGCACAGCAAATTGACATTCGACTGCAACAATCATGTTACTGGCCCATTCAGTACCTTACCTTGCGTCGAAGGAAAGCCAATTGGGAGAGCATCACCAACAGCCATCCAGAGTACATTCGATTTTATAACAGTCTATGGTTGGTTGCAAATGATGTCATCATGGGTATAGCTGTAGGAACCTTCATCATCGAGAATGCGTCATTCGTGGCAGCACAAGTGGACACTATATTCAGTGCATGGTCAGTCGAGGGGCTGCGGCGCATGATATCATGGCTCATGGGGTGGCCGGGAGGCTTGAAGCTCAACACTGAGTTGGCAGCCTTCTTGGGTGACCTGTTCCTTTGGGTCATTGACTACTGGGCTAGTAAGTGCATGCCGCCAGTGTGTAGAGTGTCGCTAACGGAATAACCTACAGACTGCATATCACTCCTGCGACCCCATCTGCCCGCACTCATCCAGATCATTGGCTACTCCTCCTTTGCTGGCGCCACTATGCCCATATCAATCTTTTCGGATCTCGTCTCCCTGCTCACTGTGCACATCTACTCCTTCTACGTTGCGTCTGCTCGCATCTTCCACTGGCAGCTCACCATTATCATTTCCCTCTTCCACCTCTTCCGTGGCAAGAAACGCAACATTCTCCGCAACCGAATCGATTCCTGCGACTACGACTTGGACCAGCTACTGCTCGGTACGATCTTGTTCACGCTTCAGTTTTTTCTCCTGCCAACTGTGTTCGTCTTCTACCTGACGTTCGCCAGCGCGCGCATTGCTGTGATTGGCCTCAAAGCAAGCCTCGAGATGGGACTTGCATGTCTCAACCACTTCCCGCTGTTTGCAGTCATGTTGCGGCTCAAGGATCCAGGGCGCTTGCCAGGAGGGATATGCTTCGAGTTACAGGATACGGGAGATATGTCGGTGGACCAACAAGATGGGTCTAGCTTAGCTCCAACTGCCTACGTGCTGCTCAAGGTAAGTCTTTTGCGTGTCCTCTTGTCATCTCTGTGCTTACAAGTGCCAGTCTGTACCGCTGTCACTGCGCGCAATGTTCCAACCATACTTTGACCTTGGTGATCGCATACGGAAACACTACTTCTCGCCTAGCGTGTTGCTCTACCTGGTGTCGGGTCAGTTCGTGCCGCCAATTCACCGTCGCAACATGTACAACCTTCAGTATAGTATGTTGCCAGCAAAGAGGGCAGGCATAGGTGAACTGTGGAGGAAGTTGACTGAGCGGGACCGTCAGTCATCGCGTTCGTCTAGTAGCTATGCTTATATGTCGTTTAGAAGAGGCATACCAAACGGTAAAAGTAGAAAATTAATGTAGTTACTTTGCACTATCTGCTTCCACACTTCTCTCATCTTGCCTTGTTATTATTTCTATACATTCTATACTTATATCTCGCTTATCCCCTTATCTTTACGCTTAAGAAGTGTCACTATGCAACGTTGGCGTTTAGGCTAACAAAAAATCATAATATTACCCGCTACACAGCACACTACGCATAATGTCCGCACACACTTCTACACCTTTCACTGCACCAGGCCCTAAACAAAACAAAACTACCAAAAAACAATCTCACCCCCCTTCCCCCCAGCATCTGCTGACCGACGCCCGTCCCTGTATTCGAACGGCACGCCCCCTAGCGACAGCCCATTGTATGTGTAATCCCTTGACTCTTTTTCTTTTATTTTTTTTAATACTCTATCTAGTGTTTTTTCTCAAGGTATCTTTCTGGAATACGCATTCGAGTGCGTGTGGTTGACCTTTTTTTACGTGTGTGCCCATTACCAAAGTTGTTTTTGTTAAGCTAGGAGCCCACCCGTTCCGCCAAGGAGAGAGAGAGAAGAGAGAGGTGTTCTTTGTTTGATGGGGATATGAGGGATTAAGGGGAATATATGGGAGGGTGAGAGGTGAGGGGGTAGAAAGGGTGAGAGAGGGGAGTGAGAGGCGCGGGGGCGGGGGCGGGCAAACGAATGGGGGGGTGTTTGGCATGTGATTGTTGGGGGGGTTTCACTTGTTAGGGGGGTGAGATGGGATGAGGTTTGTTAGGGCGAGGGGATTAAAGGGTCTGATGTGTGTTGGAAGTGGTTTGGATGGGAGGGGGTGCGGACTGAAGTGTCTTACTTGGATTGGGTGAGTGTAGGATGAGAAGGGATTATCGGAAGAGAAGGAACAAAGTGGGCAGGATCAGCTCAGGTGAGAGATCTTGTATATTCAAGAGCTGATATGAGAGTTGTGGCGTGTATGACACCGAATGTAGGCACGGTCATAACATGAGGAAGTCGCGACTGCCTGCTTGAGTATGCTGTTGACTTTGCCTGCTACTCTACATCTGATACCACTCAACAAGCCTCAGAGCACTATATTTTCGTTTAATGATGGCCATGAATTCCTGAAGGGCCTGCAGTTGTGCCAGTGCCCTTTCAGCGACCCTTCCAACCCCTTGCAATCATCGCGGGTGGAACACCATGACTGCAACGTCTCTCAGCGTATGTGCATCCGTTCTGAATCCTTTCGCAGCATCATTATTGAAAACTGAGTAAAGGAAAAGGAGCTCAATCTATCAACTTGTAAATGAATGCAACGTGCTCCGGAATATCTCACTCTGATATGTGCAGAAAGCCGATAGCCAAACACTTTACAAGTCGACAGTGAATTGCCTGCAACAAGCTGCCAATACTATCCGAAAGAAGCTTCTCGCCGATATAGCTGTGGTAGCCAGTGGAGCGACTAATGGGCTGCCACCCTTTAACTTATGCTCTGAGTCGAGTACATACCATCAGAGGAAGTGACGAGGGACAAAGGATAAGAGACAGAAAGACACAAATAACCAAGCACAAGAAAAAGACACACACGGAAATTTTGTATGAATCACCTCAAACGTCGTCTGTATTTGCAGGATATCAATGGGGACAAAGAGTCCCAACAATCATAAAAGATCGTAACTATACGCCGCTGACACAATTTCGCTGAGGCCTCTCAAGCTACGCATAGCTTTTATCTTTCAAACCAACAGAAGCCACCGCAAAATTGTATGGCAAAAGAAGCAAGGTTCCTCCTTACCCCATTAGGCAGAATCGGCGCTACATGCCAGGGAGACAAACTGGCAAAAGCAAGCAATTCTCAAAAGACCCAAAACGCCCGATTCCAATTACTACTACTAGCAAGACACAAACGAGGCACCATCGTCACCCGGCGGTTGCGGCCAATCTGGCGGTTTGGGCGTTTTACTCGGTGGCTCGTCGGGGCGGGGTTTACGACCCCAAACAACGTATCTGGCAAAGATCAGCTCTGAATTCTTGGAGAAAAAACCGTGCACATTTGGCAAAACTTACACTTTGTAATAGGCATGTATGGTCTTGTCTGTGAGAGCAGTTCGCAGATGTGCAAGGTAAACCTCGACCTCTGCAGGTGACCATCCCAGAGCAGTGACAAAGAATTCGATTGACCACGCGTGCACACCGGCACACAGATTCCAGTAGAACCATTTTCCGAGTACCTTCATTCGCTCGTCTTTTGGCCATGAATTGACAGGAATAGCGAATATCTCCTCGTGTACGTCGACGAAGCCTGCCTGCTCGTACCATCGCTTGAGTTTGTTGGCAATACGTAGGGGCCGGCCTAGGCGCATAGCTGCATCGTCTTGGGTGGCTGTCCAGTCTAGGAGCGCGTAATCGGCAGGCATCGTACCGTCGTTGCAGTAGATTTTGGGATAAAGCTCCTGAGATTCCATCCATCCTCCGGGATTGAGGTTGTTGAAGCCCTTTTGGATGATTTCGCGAAAGTCGTGAAAGATGCCGTGCGACATGCGTGTGTGGATGTAATCGTATGGCTGCGTGCAGCGCCACCATTCCGGCCGAGTGATATCGTCCATGAAGAAGTCGACATTTTCGCAGGAGCTGTACTTGTTAGCGAGGGTTGCTTGGACCGGCATGTGCGGCTTACATCTTGGGCTGGATCGGAGACAAGTCAATGCCTTCAACCTGTTTGCTTTGTTTAGTTTTGCCGCAGAAGAAAATATGGGGGACGTACCCGGCACTTTGGGAACTCGTTCGCTATCATTCGTTAGCGTTCTTGCTGGCACTACCTCGGCGCTCTACGTACCCATTTCGAAGCACCACTTGCCGGTGCCACAGCCAATGTCGAGCATCCTCTTGGGCCGCTTGAGCTTCAATGGGGCGAGGTAATTCCGCTGGTGAAACAGAGCTGTGAGGATGACATGTTGCATGTCCAGGCGCTCTATCTCAGGCTGAGTAACAGCTAGTCAGCAGCTGAAAAAAAAACGTGATGGGTGTGTGTGTGTGTGTGCCAGGGCTGGGGCAGCTACACGTACCGCGTCGTTGGGAAAAGGGTAGGCTAGGGGTGCATTAGCTGGGAGGGTCAGTGAAGGAGTCGCGCGGCGATACTTACCGCCAGCCTGGTATCCGTGGTATGTCCTGCCATACTTCTTGACGTAGTCGAAGATGCTTGGCGTGAGACTCTGGATCTCGCTGTGGCGAGTGAGTTGGAGTAAGGCATTTGAGAGCAGCAGGGCATCACACGTACGAGTTGTCGTAACCCTCTGATTGCGGATCCGACTAGACGTCCCGGTTAGCTGGCAGTGCTTGTCGAGGGCCTGGCGGCGCGGCGGGGGAGGCCGGGTGTTTGACATACATCAGGCTCCAGGGTCGAGTGTGTGATGTCGGTGAGGTCCGTGGCACTGGACAGCGGACGCAGCGGCCTCTCCTTGCGCAGGTGGCCGGGCACAGAGGTCGCCATGTTGGCGGATTTGGATGCACTCCAGGAGCGCTATTTGACTCTGGCCGAGTCGTGTCGAGGAGGAGGCGAAACCCAGCGGAGCGGCATGTCGTTCCCAATGCCAGGGCCTTGGGGGCGCCCGTCACGCCGACGGCCACACCAGGGCGGGACCATCCTGCGCTAGGCGTGGGCTAGCGAACCCCGCAACTCACCGAACCTCCACCGCCCATCTGCCACCTGTTGGACTGACCCACCACCTCCCCCAAGCCGCCGAATGACATCCCCACGAGTGCGCCGCACGCTGCCAGCTACCGCCGCCGCGGCTTTTGCATTGCGTCGTCTCATCCGACCCAGCGGCTGACAGCTCACCAGGCCCTCGGGTGCGCCCTCGTCGACACGCCTTGCATGGCTTTGCCATCCCTCCGCCAGGGATATATATATACATATATATATATACCTTGTTCTCGACGCGCTGCTTGCCCATCTGCCCATCTTGCCGCCTGGCCCAGTTTTGCGGCAGGAGCCTGTTCCGCCTGGATGCCGCTTCGAGCCACCCATCTGCATCTCTAGCGCACCTGCAACAATCTTTCTTCACCGGCCGCCCTGCTTGCTTGCATGCCGGCACCTTGACCATTCCTACCCCTTCTCCGTGACCACCGTGGTCAGTCTTGTCATCACGGCCATTCATCCACGTGGGTCACCCGGCAACTCGGCGTCTTCGGCCATGCAGTGACGCGGTTGCACTCAAAAGATCCCCCGTCAGCGCTGCATCCGGAGCATCGGATCGACAAAAGGATAGTGCCAAAGCATGTCATCAGGGTTGAATGCCAAGCGGAACGCGTCACGATAATCAACCTTTTTTCGGGTCCTTGATACATTCGTGACAGCAATCGGAACTTCAAAACCATGACTCTTCTCACCCAGAGCAGCGTCTTCCGAAAATGCACTGAAATTGCCGTGTTCTGAATTGGCAGCAATTGGGTCCCTGGCCAAGGACAATTGCGACGAGGCTTCACGTCCAACAACGTCTGTTTGAGTTCAATGCCATGCACCGAGCCTTTAGAGTTTACGCTGCGCACCTCGGCAGCCGACCTTGCATGCAGATGCAGAGCCAATGGTACAGTAACTAATTGGTACAAAACACCACGTTGAAGATTTGTCATGCTCACCGAATGATCGAGGGTCCGGAAAGGTCCATGCCTTCCTCATTCAGAAAATTTTGCCCGTTTCCATTTTCGCTCTCTTTACCTTAGTAAGCAGTGTCGGTCCCTCGTCGGCATTAAACTTGCATCAACAGAAAACTAAATGGCCCACCGGGTTTTCTTGGACGTATCAAGCCTTTTGGTGAAGGCTCTGGAAATTACGCAATTACAAATCAGCAACAGCTTTATCCTATCGAAATTTGTACTAGATCTGCTACGCTTTGCTCAAAGCTCACAGTTCGATAAACAACTTTGGAATCGACTGCTACGGTGCTGCCTGCTGCCACCCACAGTCTATTCTCGCATTTTCGAGTAGAATCAAAGCAACGGCCTCTAGTTGCAATTCAAGTGTGATAGAAATATGCATTGATCGAGTCTCACTTGAAATTTGACAGCCTTCAAACACTAGATATCTATCACTTCTGAGGTTTTGGAAACACGGGTTTTCCAAATGGCACTATCATTTTCACCGTTCACTCTCACCTTCGACGTTGTCTCTCAGTGTGCGGCCCATCACTCACTACACTGTAGCTATATATCTGAGGTTTCAAAGCAGCATTTCTCGTGAACTAGCTTTTTGAACGGTCACAAATGAGACGTAGCTCACCATCACAAGAACTGATTATTAAATACACCTTTCAAGCCTAACTACTGGTAAAGATGGTTCGAAATGATTTCAAGTCGCTTGCGAAGCGGAACCCGATGAGGGCAGCGAGGTACAGAGGTACTATGCGCAATGTTGATCACATCACGGCACATCGAAATACACGCAAAACTGGACAGAAACGCAAGCCAAAGGCCATACGCAAGACTATACACAACACAGCGCGTAGGCCTATCCGGTAGGACTCTCCATGCATAGCTCATTGCTTACATCTAACTTTCTGTAGATTCGGTGAAAAGCTAATCACCATCTACGCGGGGGGCAAAGAAAAAATACCATTCGTAATCCATGAAGACCTGCTTTGTTCTAGCTCTGGTCACTTCAAGAAGCTCTTTCAACAAAACCGTAAAGCCATCGAAGGGGAATGTTCGATATGCATCGAAGACCTCTCTGGCTTCTTATCAGTCTGCCACTGCAGAAGCTGTGGACAAAACTTTCATACGAAGTGTCTTGACGACTGGCTGCAGCGAAAAGCAACATGTCCAGTGTGCCATGTGGACAGGCCCATAACCGTTGACTTAGTCCAAAGCAGAATATGGGATGCTGCCAATGGTGAACCATGGGATGTGTATATGCAGTGGTTGTATACCGGAGCAATTCCAGTCCATCCCAAAGGCCTCAACGATGACGGCACTAAACACTGTCAGCTACTAATGGTGTCGCACGTGCTCGGCGAAAGACTCGAGGACGAATTATTCCAGAAAGCATTGCAAAAGGAGATTGTCGAAGACGTCAGGATATCTTCGCGTGCAATCGGCTATCACAATATCGGACAGGTGTATCAGCTCACGAATGGAGCTTCGACGCTTCGCAAGCTACTGGTTGATATGTACATCGCTCGGGCAGACTCAACTGAGTTGGATTCGGAGTATCCTCAGCCGTTTATCCTGGATATTGCGCGGGCTTTGCTGACGCGGCAGACGAAACGGGATATGGGTTCAGAAAAGGCGTTGGCAGGATACAGCTCGGAGGATGAAGAAGAAGAAGATGAGAGTTCAGAGGATGAAGATGAGAGCTCAGAGGGTGAAGATGAACTTGCATTTGACTTCAGTCATGCAAATAGACTGTATGAACCAGGAGAGACGGAGACAGATGAGGATGAGGACGAGGACGAGGAAAGATAAGTTCCATAGAACTGAGACACATCTGAGCTTGGCCATACGAAAGAGCAGTTGAGGGTTTGAGAACACGGCAGACTAATGCTTCAATACTTGGATCAAGTAGCTTTCTATTCAAACAGGCGACACTTATGGAGAAGATAAACAAAAAAGTAATGTGCATTGCCTGAAGATGGGCATCCCACATAGACGGATCAGCTAATGTACAGGTGCTCATATCAAAGAAGCTGTTGCTCATGCACGGTTTACCGGCCCTTCTTGACCCAGTCCTCCAAGCTTTCCCGGGTATCGGCGAGTTTGCCCTCGACGGCACCAACGGTACCCTGAGCATGTGCCTTTCCAGTCTCGACAAACTGCAGGATGCGCTTCTTCATGCGCAGATGTGTGTCTGCAACAACGGGATATCGCTCCTCGTAGGTCCAAATGAGATCACCCACGTTCTTGGAGGTAATGGGCAGCACCACGTTGGCAGCAGTAATGCCCACGGCAAGAGGCACAGATGCGCGGAGTAGTATGTTGCGGTTGCGTGTGACAATGGATCCGGCCATGGAGGCAACGAGCACGTACAGGGCGCCGGGCAAGACCTTCTCGCCAGACTCTTTTGGTGGGGCTAGCGAACGGATGGTGCTTGTGAAGGAGTGCTCTAGGCGGAGCGTCTCGGTAAGAGCGTTATCGACGGCCTTTTCACCACGCACCGCTTGCTCGTACAGAGCCATACGCGCACGTCCAATCTGAACAGCCAACCGATCGGTAGGAGTTGGGCGGTAGACGGGCTCTTCGGAGGGGGCCGAGCGTGATGGTGCTGGTAGAGAGGGGGCAGTAGGAGCGGTGGCATCAATGGGTATGTCATCGTAGATTGGCTTGCGGTTCTGTACGCTACGTCAGTATCGAAGGTCGCACGTGCCGTCCAGTAGAAATTTTGTCGTGCCTCAAAAATTTACATGAGACACAGGGCAGCAGCACATACCGAGTAGTCTTCCTGGCGCTCTTCTGCGTATACGGAGCGAGGAGCGAAGATTGTCGTGGCCGAGAGGGCAGCCATGGCGGGAACGACGGCGCGCTGTAAGACATCAGACGGCAGCCGTGGGTCATTCAGCGAGTCTACTCACCTGCCGTAACAGCGGTCGGAAAGCCATGTCGAGCGTGGGGCGGGCGCAATGGGTGGGAGACTGGCCGTGATCCAGCTTCTGATGTTGAGCTTCTGAGGATGCGGAACGGCCGTGCGAGCGCCGCAAGAATCCCGCCCACCCCGTCTTTGGCCTGGCCTGGCTATGACATCGTTTGTTCTTCAGGGCCTACCAGACTTCCTTCACTCGTGCCACCACCCACGATGCTCAAGCGGCTTGCGCGCACAAAGCAGCCAACAGCGCCCTGGATCTGCCACCGCTGTCTCCACCAGTCGCAGCGCCAACGACGCTTCAACTCGACTTTTGCTGCTGCTGCTGCCACCGCCCCCTCCAAGCCACGCGACCCTGCGCCGCTACTCCACGGTCTCCCTACCAGTGCAAAGACAGATGACGACGCCCTCCGCAAGGTTTTTGACAGCGCCTCTTTTTGGGCAGGCTTCAAACGAACGTCACAAAATGGCCAGCCCGCTGGCATCATCGGCAACAAATACCTTACGCATCCTGAGGGCTTCGTCGACTTCGTTACCATAACCATCCAGCGCTGCAATGCCGTTGTGCAAAAGGTGGCAGCCGCGCAGTCGGTCCAGGACTACAAGCACATGGTCAAGGACCTCGACAAGCTCAGCGACCTGCTATGTAGGGTTATAGACTTGGCCGACTTTGTGCGAGGCACCCATCCAGATCGCAAGTTCCAGGTCATGGCAGTCAAGGCATACTCGACAGTCTTCCAATACATGAACCAATTGAACACAACGCCGGTGCTATACAACCAGCTGAAGAAAGGCTCAGAGATACCTGAGGTGTACGAGGCTTGGAGTGAGGAAGAGCGGATCGTTGCGAGGATACTGATGGAGGACTTTGCGCGCTTTGGCATCGGGCTGGATGACCAGACACGAGAGAAGTTGGTGGACTTGAGTGGAGAGATCGCTGAAGTCGGAAACCAGTTTGTTGAGGGTATGGCACCAGAGACACTGACTTTACGGTTCAAGTCCACACGGTTAAAAGGGTTGGACCCGAACATGGCAAAGGCTCTGACCAAGTGGGGGGAAACGAAGATTTCGACAATGCATCACGAGGCGCAATCTGTGCTGCGGTTTGTCGAGGACCCAGAAGTGCGTAGAGAGACATACCAAGCCGTCCGCACAGCAAGCAAGCCGAGCATTGCGCGATTAGAGAAGATGTTGAAGCTGCGCGCCGAACTGGCCCAGACATCAGGTTACGAGACCTTTGCGCACATGACGCTTGAGAATAAGATGGCACGGACACCAGAGGCGGTCAATACTTTCTTGAAAGCGTTGTATGAGGACAGTCGACCAGCTGTGCTTGCCGATTTAGAGGAATTGATGGAACTGAAACGAGGGGATGCCCATCGGTCAAACTTTCCAGATCGCATCAATGCCTGGGATAAGTTCTACTACACACAGAAGATGCTTGCGACAATGGAGGGCCATTATAGGCAGCGTACCCCAGATTCACTGTCTGCATATTTTTCTGTCGGTACCGTCCTCCAAGGAATATCTCGGCTCTTCGACCGTCTCTACGGCGTACGCTTTGTGCCAAAGGAGACTCAGCCAGGTGAGGTGTGGGACGATGGAGTGCGCCGTCTTGATGTCATATCGGATACTGAAGGCCACATTGCGGTGCTGTACTGTGATTTGTATTCGCGTCCTGGCAAGACGCCCAATCCAGCGCATTTCACCCTGCGCTGTAGTCGCGAGATTTTACCCTCGGAAATGGAAGAAATGGCACATATGCAGCACCGCTTTTCTTCACCCATTGAAGCCGCAACCGATGGCATGCCAGTATCCTACAATCCCCAACGGCAAAGTTATTTCCAATTACCAACTATCGCCCTGATTTGCGACTTCAGCAAAGCGTCTCACTCGCGGCCAACGCTCCTTAATATTCACGACGTACGCACTTTATTCCACGAAATGGGTCACGCTCTCCACTCTATCTTGGGTCGCACAGCTCTCCAAAACGTCTCTGGTACTCGCTGCGCCACTGACATCGCTGAGCTGCCCTCTGTTCTTATGGAACACTTTGCCTTTTGCCCACACGTTCTTTCTCTGTATGCCCGCCACTGGGAAACAGACGCTCCAGTTCCTATGGCTGCCCTTGAGTCTCGCCTCGCAATTGACAATCGAAACCAGCATGCCGAACTCGAATCGCAAATCTTACTTTGCATGCTAGACCAAGCTTACCATTCCCCTATCGCCGCTGACCCAAACTTTAACTCGACAAAGGTTTACCACGACGTATACAACAAGTACGCATCAGTTCCTGAGCCCGCTGGTACAGCTTGGCAGGGCTTCTTTGGCCACTTGTATGGATACGGCGCTACGTACTATTCTTATCTGTTTGACCGCGCCCTCGCAGCTAAGATCTGGAAGGATGTGTTTCAGCACAATGGCCCAGAAGGCAGCTTGGATAGAGAAAACGGTGAGTTGTATAAAAACGAGGTGCTTAGATGGGGTGGCGGAAGAGATGGCTGGCAGTGCCTTGCTGGTGTACTTAAAGATGAGAGACTAGCAGAGGGCGGCGAGCAGGCCATGCAAGAGGTAGGGAAATGGGGGATCCGGGATACAGGAAAGTAGATGGCACACTGCGAACACAGAACCTTGTATCATGTGCATAGACTCGGATCTAGACTTTCGTAGATAAACTCCTGGTCAATAAAGTATCCATCGTTGCGGGTTGCAATATGTCTTGCAGACTTATTGGTTCGCTGATCATACCGAACATGGCCGAATGGCTGAATCACATCATTGGGAAACCCCGGAAGCGTACATGGTCGAAATCGCATAGTTGGATACACTTCTGAATTCGCACCGGACCAAGCATGTGGAGTGTGGAGGTGGATCCTTCGCTGTTGGCTCAGTCCACGCTAGCCGCTATAGGACGACGCGCTCTTATCGATAAAGTTTTCGATGTCAGAAAAGTTTTGGTACTCGAAGCGCCATCACTATTCCCACAACAGTCATGTCACAAGAAAAGAGCATAAATTCCAAGGTTCAGAACGGAGAGAATGGATCGGCAGAACTAAAGAAGGGGAAAAAGAGAAAGAGAGCTCAACCAGCCAAGGATGGCTGGAGTGTTAAAAAAGGCGCCGGCCAACTGACCAAGTTTGATGACTCTGAAGATGATACACCCAACCCCGTTGCAAGTCAAAAGAGCAAGGTTGATGTTGTGGAGAAGAAGGAGGTTGCTACGGAATTACCCACTAGACAGCCTGAGAAGTCTTCCAAACCGGACACATCGACACAGCCACCAGAGCCCGCACCTAAGCGTGAGCAACATTCCAAGGCCAGGAACAAGCAACCGCAGCGGCTGCGAAACTCTCAAAAAACTCAGGATATACCGCCTTATCTTCTCCAAAAACGTGACGAGCTACGATCAGTCAGAAAATCACTTCCTATATGGCCCCAGGCAGACTCCATCCGAGCAGCACTCCAGAAGAATAACATCCTTGTCTTGACGGGAGAAACGGGTTCCGGAAAATCGACACAGTTACCGCAGTTTTTGACCAACGAATCATGGTGCACGGGATGCACAGCAATCACACAGCCTCGAAGAGTGGCAGCTATTTCCCTAGCCCGTCGTGTGGCAGAGGAAATGGGTAGCTTGCTCGGTGACAAGGGCCCAGCAGCCAAGGTCGGATATAGTGTCCGTTTCGACAACGCCGTTGGGAAACATACAAAAGTCAAGTTTCTGACTGAAGGTATGCTGCTTCAGGAGATGCTCAGGGATCCCAACATGTCGCAGTACAGTGCGATAGTAGTGGATGAGGTTCACGAGAGGAGCGTGAATGTGGATCTGATTCTCGGATTTTTGAGGAATCTAGTTGCTGATGAGGAGAACAACAAGAAGAGGAAGCATCCGCTAAAGGTCGTAGTGATGAGTGCCACAGCGGATGTGGAGAGTCTTGTGAAATTCTTTGGGGGTGATTCACCTGCAGCAACATCGGACACGACTATCGATAAAGCAAAGACGGCGAGTACCAACAAGGTCTCGACATGTTATGTAGAAGGACGACAATATCCGGTCAAGACGATATATCTACCGCAGCCTACACAAGACTGGATCGAATCCGCCTTAAAACTGGTCTTTCAGATTCATTACAAGGAGCCTCTACCCGGCGACATACTGGTTTTCCTAACGGGTCAAGACACCATTGAGTCTCTGGAGAAGCTTATCAACGATTATGCTGAAGGCATGGATGACAATGTTCCTAAGCTACTTGCTCTCCCACTCTTTGCAGCCCTCCCCCAGCACGCTCAACAACGCATCTTCCAACCAGCTCCTTACCGTACACGGCGCGTTATCCTCGCAACCAACATTGCAGAAACATCCGTCACCGTCCCCGGCATCCGCTTCGTAATCGACTGCGGCAAGTCCAAAATCAAACAATTCCGGAACCGCCTAGGCCTCGAGTCTCTCCTCGTAAAACCCATCTCCAAATCCGCAGCCATCCAACGCAAAGGTCGAGCCGGTCGTGAAGCACCAGGCCAATGCTACCGCCTCTACACCGAAGACGCCTACAAAACTATGGAAGACCGCACCATCCCCGAGATCCTCCGCTGTGATCTCAGCCAAGCCATTCTCACCATGAAAGCCCGCGGCGTCACCGACGTCCTCAGTTTCCCCTTTCTCGACCGACCCCCGCGCGAGGCCCTCGAAAAAGCCCTACTCCAACTCCTCCACCTCCAAGCCCTCACCGAAACCGGAGACATCAGCCCCAACGGTCTTGTCATCGCAAAGTTCCCCTTAACACCCACGCTCGGTCGCGTGCTAGTTGAAGCTGCAAAACCCGAGCGCGACTGCCTCACCGCCGCCATCGACATCATCTCCGCCTTAAGCGTCGAAACCGTCTTCCTGAACCTCGTCACCGAAGAGCGCAAAGAAGAGGCCGAAGAAGTACGCCGAGAACTGTATCGGCGCGAGGGCGACCACTTGACGCTTCTCGTAACCGTGCAGCGTTTCGCGGCCGAAGATAAAGCGCACAGGAA